TTTGTCTAAAGGAAGGAAGTTCGACGGAAGTCTCTCTATTAGATGAATGAATTTGATGAGCAATAAACAGGAGAGTGTAGAATCCTGTTCAAGATATTCAAAGTATTTAACAGGAAAGCAGAATGGATATAAGACAAGAATAATTGTATACAAAAGACAAGACAAGAACAAAATCAAAGGATAGATTAATTTCTGAACAGACCTATCGGTCAATACATTTCACCTTTACTGTTAAACCTAAATTACAAATTAGTTGTAAATAAACTCTTTTTTAAATTGCGGTCAGATGTATTAGTTCTTGGTAGAGAGTGTTGAGTTTGAGACTGAGTTGTATCTGGATTGACACATACTTTATAATAGAGATAGAGTTGTATCTGGATTGACACATACTTTATAATGGAGATAGAGTTGTATCTGGATTGATACAGACTTAATAATAGAGATATAGTTGTATCTGGATTGATAAAGACTTAAAGTACTATTGAAGTAAGGCAATTAGAACATGCTTAAAATTTATAATAATGAGTACTAAATTAATACTATAATGTTTATATTTCAAATATTTCGTAAAGATCCCCCAATTTGAAACCATGCTAAAAAATAGCCTTTTCTGCTGTTCGCAACCATGGAGCAAACTATCTTAATAGGTTTCTCTGGGGTTAGTTTGAAATATCTAAGGCCTACGACATTGGATTGCAATGATATAGGTGTTCGACAATTAGAGTTTGTGGCAAAGACTCAATATCCTTACTCAACATTTACTCAAATTCAGATCAATGTCAATTTAAAAACAATAGCATAAAACCTTCGTAATTTAAAAAAAAATCAAAATTCTAAAAGAAAAACATGCATGCTTTTTTGTAATTATATATTCACACACAAAGATATAAATACATATATAAATGGTGTGGTTTAAATTTGTTTAAATAAATTTTTCATTCATTCATAAATTCATTACGCCTTAAGAAAATAACATATAGATGTTATTTTGTTCTTACTAGAAGATATATTATTCCATATAAGATAATTTGTGTTGTTAGTGATTTGTTTCGTAAATTATAAAAGTGACTTTTATTTTGAATTGCGTATTAAACTTAAAACGGGAAAGTGGTAAAGCGTGATGTGATACGACATTCGAGTGACTATATTATTAACCCTAGCACTAATGTTTAAATTGAATTGGAAATAATTTATCAATTTTCTTTAAAAGAATGAAGAAAAGTTTAATTCTGTTTGTTTCCTGTTTTGATTATTCTGGAAGCATATTCTGGGAAATTTGTGTTTTCAATTTGTAAGACAGTTGGTTCACAGCACACCTTAGGAATGCCAGCACAAATGTGTTTAGTATGTTTCAACAGGGAAAAAGTTTTAAAAAACAATATAAACCTGAGGAAAATAAATCCTACAAACATACATAATTAAACCAAATGCCGATGGGAGTACACCTGCACGTGCACATGTGTTTTAAATGAAAACCCGCAAATCCTTTGTTTCTGATAGAGAAAAACATAGAATTTTAAATTTAGCTATATAGTTGGCAATTTATTTTTGAAATAACTTTGTTTTCTCTCTAAAATCTAGTGCATGGGGGAAACAGTTATCCTCTATAACCTAAACCCTTAGCCTGACCCCTTCGACAAACATTAGTTTTATTTTATTTTTTTGACTTTCCCCTTCCCTTGTTTGTTCCCATTATAAACAACTAAAGGTTGTGCAAACCTTGTGTTTCTGGCTGATTTATGTACAACTCGACACAGACACAGCATCTTTCTTTTAAAATAATAAAATTCTAATTCAAGTAAAAAAACATCTTATATAACTAAGAACACTATTTTTACATTTTTTTACACTGTTCAAATTTTTTTGTGTGTAAAAGTTTTAAGCTATGAATGGATTGAACAAGTAATTAATTGCCAGAAACTAATTTCTAATCTTAGAAACTATATGCTATTTAAATCATACAAAATAAAATATGAACATGTTTTCTTCTTAGTATCATGTTATCTCCTGTACTCTCATGTTATCTCCTGTACTATTATGTATCTCCTGTACTATTATGTATCTCCTGTACTATTATGTATCTCCTGTACTATTATGTTATCTCCTTTACTATCATGTATCTCCTGTACTATTATTTTCTCACCTGCACTGTTGTGTTATCTCCTGTACTATCTTATTATCTCCGGGGACTAAAATGTTTTCTCCTTTAGAATCATACTATCTTCTGTAGTATCATGTTATCTCCTGTACTATTATGCTATCTTCTTTAATTTCATGCTATCTCTTGTGCTATTATATTACATCTCCTGTACTATCGTGTTTTCTTCTGTACTCTCATGTTATCTAATGTACTTTCATGTTATCTCCTGTACTATCATGTTATCTCCTGTACTATCATGTTATCTCCTGTAGTATCATACTATCTCCTGTAATATCATGTTATCTCCTGTAATTTCATGTTATCTCCTGTACTCTCATGCATCTCATTTACTATCATGTTATCTCCTGCAGTATTATGCTATCTCCTCTGCTATCATATTATCTCCTGGACAATAATGTAATCTCCTATAGTATCATGTTATCTCCTGTAGTATCATGTTATCTCCTGTAATTTCATGCATCTCATGTTCTATTATGTTATCTCCTGGACTATAATGTTATATCCTGTATCTATCTGTACACACGTCAGTAAGAACCAAGTATTTGAACCAAAATACCAGTTAGAACTGTTTACTTCTNTATACTATAGCTTGAATAGTGATTTTACATATTATCTGTTTATACTATAGCTTGAATAGTGATTTTACATATTATCTGTTTATACTATAGCTTGAGTATTGATTTTACATATTATCTGTTTATACTATAGCTTGAATAGTGATTTTTTCTAACAATGCCTGCAGGAGAACATGCTCAAGTCTAGTTTATTGGGAAACCACAAATGAGAAAATAATCAATCTTTAAAGAGAAAAAAAGATCTTATTTTTTCTTGAGCAAACAAAGCTTTTAAGGGTACCAGGATTAGACTCTTCATCAGATTTCTCCCCACTAAGCTCTCCAACCTTATGAACAGACTTGATTTTACCTTTCAGAGATCTCGGAGATTTCAGAGATTTTNCGAGTAGGGTTTTTTTCTAACAATGCCTGCAGGAGAACATGCTCAAGTCTAGTTTATTGGGAAACCACAAATGAGAAAATGATCAATCTTTAAAGAGAAAAAATATCTTATTTTTTCTTCAGCAAACAAAGCTTTTAAGGGTACAGTTGTGAATCAGACACCCCTTTTGAAGATGAAGGGTCAAATTGAAATAAAATATTCAATCTAAATTTGAATCTATTGTTTTTCCTTCCAACCTTAATTTTACTGTATAGAACCACTTTCGGTCAATAAATTTTAAACATTTTTCACCTTTTTGAAGAAATACAGGTCTAATTGTTGGATGATCCAAACCTTTCAAATTTTCTTTTCATATGAATATGAAACTATTTTCAGAAATATTTTCAGGCTAGAAATTATTGATTTCATGTATTTTCTATTTTACATTATATATTAAGTACAATTAAAATGGTTAAAGACAGTGAGACCAATAAACTTGAGGAACTATTAAGTCAATACTGTTATACCACGTTTTATCCACGTTCTTTACTCCCTCGTCCCTGAGTTACCTGCACTAAAGATGTGACACCCCCTGTGGTCGGAGTCGAGAATGAGTCTGTAGTTCAGCCACAAAACCATAACAACATGGGGACCCGGTTACAGACTAGAATTCAAGCAATGTCTCTGGGGGATTCTATTCCTGTTGAGATTTTGAGATCTAATTATCTTAATCTCCTGGGCTCAGTGAAAAAAATTCTGCACAAGTACTCATCTCATGTTGATGGTTGGTAGGATTGAATTTGGTTGCAAAGGGACCAGTATTAGACTCTTCATCAGATTTCTCCCCACTAATCTCTTCAACCTTATGAACAGACTTGATTTTAGCTTTCAGAGATCTCGGAGATTTCAGAGATTTTTGTCTTGCGCCAATAAATCTGTGATCTCTGTGATCCTTCGCTCTTATTCCTCTCTATTATGCACAAATTCTTAAATTCCTTGTACGCTTCGACGCCTACAGGATTCTTGTAATCCAAACCAGTTCTTGTCATCTCTGAAATCCAATCTGCATAAGTCTCAGAAGGAAGGACCAACGATAAACTATTCAGCGTTGCCCTAGAATATACACAGTTCTCTAATTCCTGTTTATCAATCCCTGTTACCTTGGACAATCTTTCCATCCTCTGTAGAGCTCCGGAGCTATATGCATAAAAGGAATATTTTGCAGCATTGTTGCTTGGGTTAGCCTTCACCTTCTTGCTGAGATCATTCAGTATATCACTCACAATCCTAGTGACACCTCCGTAGTTCAGAATCAACCAGTTCTTTATCTCCACGTACGAATCAGACACATGAATTAATTTACTCTTTATCTCCTACAATAGATGCTTATTGTACAATCTATTCTCTTTCTGAGCAGAATTCCTCCACCCTAGGTAGGCAATCTCTGCAGCCTCCAAGGACTCATAGATCGTAACCTTTGCATTATCCTAGAATACTCCCACATCTGCTGAATCTCCTTTGGAAGTATTTATTCTGTGAACTTCAGCTTTGTTATACATGTCTTCTACCCTCAAACACCTATTCTCCGCAGAATCCAGGAACTCATTTATCTCATCAGAGTAATCATAATCCATTCTAGGAAATTTCACGTACTTCTGTAGAGATTTCTGGATGTTTTCTACAGCTGAGTGGATCGCAGGAACATCGATCCATCATCAGCTAGTGTTGGTCTCAGACTCATGGAGAAACAGGCCAAGCTGGGGTTGGGGGGAATAGGTCTCAGCTGCAGTCTTGAATCAAGACTGCAGGAGGGGTGCCTGAAGAAAGGGATGGAAAGCAGGATGTTCACATATTTGAAAATATTTTAATAGATATTTCTCATGATACAGAATATTTGGTGAAATTGATTCTTTCTTGGAAGATTGAGGGTCTAGGCTCATCTTGCGGACGTCCCAGACCTCCTTTAAGCCGGGTACAGTTAAATTTTATTTTCGAAATTTATTTGATCCACTACATATGGATAAAAACTTCAAATAGATACCTTTCATCTCGAATTCTGAACGAAAAATCGATTTTTTCTCCGGCCACAGTTGTCTTTGAAAAGTAGGACTAATACCATTCAACAGCAAATAGGCAATTTAGTTTACCCTGAAATAACCCAAATAAGTGAACGGTCCGTTTGAAAATTGTGCAACGCAAAGCAAACAATCTTGTTACGGAGAGATAAGACTTCATAAGAATACTTAACATACAATGATATAATGCAAATATATCAGAAAAATTCTCAGGGACACAACTCAAATTTTCTAAAACTGCAAAAAAACTATTTATTCTTACTTAAAATTTCTGCAAAACCTGATTTTCTGAAAAAATAATTTTATAATTTCTAAATAAAGCACATGTCAGTCAGTGACGAATCAAGAACACGACAAGAACTGTAATAGCAAGTCTTTTTTTGTTTTCTCTAACTATATTGTGAGTACTTTAGTTTTTAGATAGTTACATAGGTTGGCTCTAATTCAAACAATAAACAGTGTATATCATTATATGCTCAGTATTGACTTAGCACTTTGACAGTTAGTGTTTAATGTAGACATTTATAAATATTGAAATTCCCATATTTGTTATGAAACTTATAATTGTACACAGTACATTTATTTCAAGTGCAAATAAGAAAAATTAAATAATTACTTTTTTAACTGATCGATCGAATTTTCACTTTAAGAGTACATGTGGGGAAATTTGATAAAAGGAATTGAGTTTTTGCCACAAACTCTGATTTTCTATTTCCTATAACTTTGCAACCCGTTTTCCTAAACCTTTAATATTTCTGTTGAATCAAATAGTCTAAGTTTGAAATATCAAAGGTTTACGTCATCAGGTTGCAAAGATATAGGAGTTAGAAAATGCGAGTTTTTGGCAAAAACTGTGAAATTCGAAATAGAATTACGCTCATTAGGTTTAAACTGTTTGAATTTATACGCTACTTTTTTGATTATTAAAAGTTTTAAATGGCAGAAATGGAAAATTGTGCATTTGTTTTAAGAAATTAATGAACTAGATTTCATTACTGCAGACAGATACCAAACCAAAAATAAGTTCACATCGTTTATTTTCATTAAAAAAAAATAATCTAATTTAAACTTTATATATAATCACAAATGGTAAAAGATCTGAATCAACCGAACTTTTATCTTTATTGTCAAATCGTATGATATTATGTAAGTGTCTCAACCTGAGGATTGTTTATCATTGTTTTCCAGATGAAGTCTGGTATTCAACCTCAGAATCCCAGGGAGAATGCTAATATTTTTTCCATTGGTCTTTTCTGGTAAATAAATTTTAACTTTAATTGATGAAGTTTACAGCAGCATATTCAGTTGGAGCAGAGGCCACCGAAAGGAAATAATTTCCAACGAAGCAAATGTACATTTTTTATTCAATGCTAATTACTCCACCGGAGGGATGGTAATTACACTCAAGACACAAACGCAACAATCTTCTTATAACATTTTATTCATAAACAAATTGTTTCATGCTTTTATACAATCATCAGTATGATACATATGATATACATATGATATACATCTAAATATATATACATATATATACTAATTTACTTTAATTTTGACTTTGTACTGGCTTGATGAATGATATTAATTCGAATTTAATTTTTTTTAAGTACTTTACTTAGAAAGCAAAGATGATTTTGCAAAGAAAAGTTTAATAAGATTTAAAATACTAAAAGATATAAGTAAACATAGAGGTAGGTTTGTTAATCGTTTTTGAAAACGATCATTAAACGATCGTTTTTTTCGTTTTCCTATCGCTTTTTGTTTCGTATTCCGATCATTTTAAAAACAATCCTTTTAAAAACTTTAAAAAAACGATATTTTTTAAAACGATTGGAAAACGAAACAAAAAACGATAGGAGAACGAAAAAAAACGATCGTTTTTCAAAAAAATGAAAACGTTAACATCCCTACATATAGGAAGTCAAAATTGGCGTGAATTGAAAAGATGCTTATGTAAAAGCCTCTATCTTTTTCATAACCCTTATATTCCATTTAATTTTTTCAACATTAAAATTAAATCTACAATTTTTATTTCTAAAAGCTGTTAGTTCATCGTCGAAAAATACCAACAAGCCACCACCAGTAAAAACATAAAAAATTTATTGCAATCCTACTTATTCTTTTACTTACAGCTCGTTCAAAATAGAATTTTAAAAATAGATAATCCAAGTAAAGAACAATTTAGAAATGTGGTGAGGGACCAAATATTCCCAGACCAACTTAAGCAAACAAATTAAACTTGTTTTCTTAACGACTGAAATATATAACGAAATGGGTCGTTAACAAATGATTGACGAACGAATTGAAAAACGAAAACGCCTTATCTATCGGTTGAAGCATAAGAAAGAATGGAATGAATGTGTAAAGTCAAAGAAATTGAGTTTTTGTCACAAACTCTGATGTTCTTATCCATATATTTGCATTTGATTGTCGGAGACCTTAGATATTTCAAACTAGGAATCTCTTTAGATCAAATAATGATAGTTTTAAATATCAAAGGTTGAAAAGATATGGCGATTGTAAAATCATAATTTGTTGCAAAAACTCAGTTCCTTTAACTGCACTTAAATGTATGCATTGAGTAACCGTGAGCAACCTGTTTAATGCAAAAACAGGACTCAGTTCTAGTTTAAAAAAGTACTAAAAGATTTGATTTTTCATGATGATTTTTCTAGGCTATCTGGTTATATTTATATTTAAAAAACAAGATTTTGAATTTTGACAAGCGGGAACCCAGCTTTGACTTGAGATCTTCTAAATGTTTGAAACTAGCAAAGAACATTCATGTGGTTAAAACGAAAATCCCAATCAAAGTTTAAGCCGAATCGGTTAAGGGGATCATGATTATGATTTGAAAGCAAAAAACAAAAACATAGATTACTATTTCATATAACACATTCTACCAGTTCCTACATTTTAGGTGGCTGTTCCCTCTCCTAGGAAAAGGATATAAAAAAGATTTAGAAATAGAAGATATATATGAAAACCTGAAAGCAGATGGTTCAGAGAAGCTAGGAACAGAGCTGCTGAGGTATTTCTTTTAGTTTAAAGTTAGTTTTCATAATTTATTCCGTTTACATCCAAATTAAAAAAAAGTATTATACATTTTCAACACATGACCAGAAAAATCTAAATAACATAAAGGTTTTCATGAAACGGCGATTTCTTGTGCAAAAATAGTTTTTGGGACTTTTTGCTAATCAAGCGAAACAGATTTGTGCAATATTTCTCATCACATGTTTCGTACAAAATTTGTATAAACACTTTTTCGACCATGCAAGCTGTTACGAAAAATAGTGGTCCGATTTTATTGTTTATTGAATGAACATTTTATATTGAACATACTATATATACCTGGACTAACAAGAGTGAGTCGCAAAATGGATTCGGTTTCTTCAATTTGAATTCAACCATTTTAAAACTAAGGCACTTGTTTTTGTCTGCTTGTTCACTTAAAACGCATCTACCACATAAGAATAAAATTATTTTTGTTTTGAGCATAAAGCAAGTTGATTTGCAACGAATATTGTTTATATGTTCAGGGAATGGAATAAAGAATTGGAGAAGCAGAGACGATTGGAGAGCTTGGGCCAAAATTATCAAGCAAGCCTAACCAAAGCTCTTGTTAGGCAGTTTGGACCTTTCTACGCTCTTTTAGGAATAATCATGTGTATTGAAGAATGCTGTATCAGAGTATTTCAACCAGTTTTAATGGGTGAATATTTTACTTTAAAAAATACATTTTCTGTTATGTTATGTAGCTGATTCTGATATAAATTTATTGTATCATCTTTTCATATAGGATGGATGTTGAACTACTTTTCCCCGGGAAGCAATATGCAGATTAACGAGGCATTGATGTACGCCGGTGGTCTTGTTGTTTGTTCTTTATTGTACACTATCATTCATCATCCTTACTATTTAGAGGTTATGCATGTAGGAATGCGTGCAAGGATAGCAGTGTGTTCAGCAATATTCAGAAAGGTATTTGACAGATTCTTTTACATCTTAAATTACCCATAAACTTGAAACTAAAAAAAAATAAAATTCCAGGTACTTAAGCTTTCAAGTAAAGGTCTTGAACAAACTACCCTCGGACAAATGATCAATCTGATTTCTAATGATGTTAATAGGTATTTCTAAAGTATTTCTTATACATAGTAAAACATTAATTGTAACCCCATTTAGTGCTAAAGTTTTTTCTTGACTATTAGATTTGACCAATTTGTCCTGTTCTTTCATTATCTGTGGATCAGTCCTCTCCAGCTAATTGTGGTCACTTTTCTACTCTGGCAGAAAATTGGAATAAGTGCGCTAGTTGGGGCAATCCTTCTTCTACTCTTCATTCCCTTACAAAGTAAAAAATAATCTTTTTTTTTTACTATAATTAAATAAAATTTTTGAATATTTATGATAAAAAATTCTAGTCTGGGTAGGGAAGAAGTTGACCCAGCTAAGAATGCAGACAGCAGGAAAAACGGACAACAGAATCAGACTAATGGATGAGATCATCAATGGAATAAAAGTTATAAAAATGTTTACATGGGAAAATTTGTTTACTGAAAAGGTTGAGGAGGCACGAAAGTGAGTTAAAAAATGATATATCAACTATGGATTAAAGGGAATGTTAATTTAGGACCTTTCATCCAAAGAATGATTTTCAGAATCACAACGGTTCCCTTTAAACCTTAGACAGATCACGGATGAGGGAAAATTCGGTATTTATCAAGATAAAAAATCGAGTGATAAAAGTCAAAGTGAATACATACTAAAGTGGAACAGAGTAAGTCAACAACGCCAGGTTGGGCCATAAGGTTTTATTTGGTTTGGAAATAATTGCATTAAAAGATTTTTTTGGAAAGTAAAGACTAGAAAAAGAAACTAAAGACCCATGTAAATGTCGTCTTCAGTTAGAACTTCGAAATTTTCATAATAAAAAATAAAATTTTTTTGTATGTTTCTATGTAGTTTATATGTAAATACTATAAACAGTCGCTTACTTAATTCATTGATTTTGCCTGTCACTTCTAATTCTATGGGAATTTATCTTTAAAACTGCATAATTTTGTTCTTTCAAATCTCACTCCATTCCGAAATATGTTTGTAAATTTCTTAAACAAATCTTATTATTATTATTATTATTATTATTATGTTCTGATCTAGATGAGTATTCAGGGTGGGGGGCTATGGGGGCTCATCCTCCTCCTAGATCAGTGAAATATATGCTTGTTTGGGGGGGTTTGACCTACATCCCCTCTAAGAAAGAAAAAGAAATGTAAGCCCTTCCTGGGAAAAAAACATGAATACGCCTCTCTTAATATCTTTAAAACTTTGTCTAGTTTTCAACAACTCATAAATCTGTCTAAATACAAAAGGGAAGATTAAGAGATATATTTCGATAATCTTCATTTTTCTGTATCACAAATTGTTCATTCCTTATTTTACAGATTATGCATGCAGATTGCAGGCATTATTGTGCTGTCTGAAATTATTTATTGTGCAGTAAAATGGCTAAAATTCACTTACATTAATCTATATTTAAGTTAAATATGATTCTAAGTCTGAGTTTGTAAACAAAGGGAGCCCAGTTTCTGTTGTACTGCAGCACTCAGTACAGACCAGTTTATATATATATATATATAAATATTATTTTTAAATACTTGGTTTTAGGAGAACTCACAGACGCCCGCGGCCTCTCCCGGCATCTCACTTTATGCCATAAATGAGTTCTAAAAATGTTTATTTAAATGTAAACCAAACACAGCGCTTGAATGTCGTGACCAATTTAATTTTTCCAAACCGGATACAACAAACCGGATACAACAAACCGGATACAACAAATCGGATACAACAAATCGGATACAACAAACCGGATACAACAAACCGGATACAACAAACAGAATACAACAAACCGGATACAACAAACCGGATACAACAAACCGGATTCAACTCGTCGAGGAATCAATTTTTTCCAATACACTAATGTAAAAAAAGGTTAATGATAATTTTTGTCTTCTATGGTATTCAAAATTCATATTGGAAAAAAAAATTATATTAAAAACTCAGTGATTTTTGTCAAGATAAATTAGTCATTCTCCGGCTCATCCTTGACCCGTAGGTTTAAAGGTCACCGTTGTGAATCTGGCATGGCCTTCTTTGCATGGAAGGTTATTTGAAATTATGCTTACAGTCCAGCTGTCCATAATTAATTTCCTGATATTAAGAAATTGCTTTGTCGGTTATCTATATTTTAAAATTTTGATAAATATTACCTTTATTTTAGGGAAGAAATAAAAATAATCAGAAAAACCTCCTATTTCCGATCCTTCAACTTCAGTTTTTTCTTCACAGCGTCAAGATTTATTCTTCTCTGCACTTTTTTTCTGTTCTACATAACAGGAGAGGTAGTACAATATTCTAATTGCACTTCAGTCTTAAAATAATCCGACTGTTTAATTTTTCAGATTCTTACCCCGGAGAAAGCATTCCTGTGTCTTTCATTGTACAACACTGTGCGAGTTTCGATGACCTTATTTTTCCCCTCTGCCATCAGTTTGCTTGGTGTGACTAAAGTTTCAATTTCAAGAATTCAAACTTTTCTTCTACTTGAGGAATTTTCAGTGGAAAATGATCGAAGATATTTAAAATCTACAACAGAGGTTATTTCCAGTATCGTATTTGACCTCAAATCTTGTTAATTAATGTCGTATAATTTTGCAAATATTATCTACACCCTTTTAGAATTTTCAACAAAAAACTAGGCTTATAGTGCGCGCCACGCCCCCTTTTAAGTTGAAGTTTACAGCAGCATATTCAGTTGGAGCAGAGGCCACCGAAAGGAAATAATTTCCAACGAAGCAAATGTACATTTTTTATTCAATGCTAATTACTCCACCGGAGGGATGGTAATTACACTCAAGACACTAATTACTCCCTCGGTGAGATGGTAATTAACACTAAGTGCATTAATTACTCCAATCGGAGGGATGGCAGTTAACAATCAGGACACTAAATGCTCCCTCGGTGAGATGGTGATTAACACTAAGTGCACTTATTACTCCATTGGAGGGATGGTAATTAACACTCAGGACACTAATTACTCCACTGGAAAAATGGTAATTTACAATGAGGACACTAATTAGTTCACCATGCCGGAGTAATTAGCATTGAATTAAAATATGCTTTCCTTTCGGTGGAAACAATTTCCCTCTGGTGGGCTCCGCTCCAGCAGATTGAACCCAATATGCTGCTGCAAACTTCAATCCCCCCCCCTTCTTAATTATCCAGAAAGTGTTTTCTATAGCATAGGTAAAAAATAATTATTTCAATAAATTTTGCAGATTTTTGCATTTTTCTCTAAATCAATTATAGACTGACGTTAACAAATCTTGTAATTTCAACCTCAAATTGTTTCTTTGAAAGTTGCCGTTTTTTCATCATTCTCAAATTTTCGAGGATTTTTGCTTAAATTGTGGCATTTTCTAAAATAATAAAGGTAGACATTATTTCAAGACAAGAGTTTTAAATTTTGACCGTCAATAAACTTCAATAGGGTCATTAGATTTGCCACCAAAAATTTGGGCCTGATCGATTAAAGTGTTTTGCTTCCTTTGTTGGACAAAGACAGACAGATAGACAGATATAGTAGTTAAATTTGGAATTTATAACAATTCGGGTTATTTGAGAATGTTAAGTTGCTTCAATATCCCTGGTTAATTTGTAAAGAAATTTAGTTATTTACTTTTTCTCACTTGCTATTGATCTATTAAATAATTTTTTTTATTTTGATTTTTTTAAAGCAACAAAACAATTTTTGTAGCATTTGTTAAAACCACAAAAAAAAACTATTTCCTTGTCATACCTTGGATGTTTTGAAAAAAATAATTTAAAAACAAAAGAATGTTGCTTCTAAATTTTGATTTTAATACACCGCATGCCCAAAAAAGTGCTTTATTTTCACAATTTAACAATACTATAGTTGAGAAGTGGATTGATTTTATAATTCAAAAATATTTTATATTTTAATTTTAGGTCTGTGTGGAAATGATTAATTTTACAGGAAAGTGGAACAAGGAATATACTCTAAATGATTTAACTCTGAGTGTAAAGTATGTTGATTATTATTTCGTGGAAATTATCATTTTCATGTGGAATTTAACATATGATTATTTATGAATTATCAATCTTTTTTATCTTTTAAATACAGGATGACCAAATATGTTAGGAAAGTAAAAGACTACATTAAACAATCTGTAGTACGTTTTCAAATCTGGTTATGCAATGCAAGTAAAACATATAAGCCGTTCTCATAAAAGATTCCTAAAACGTGGTCTGCTTGGTTTATACCTTCAAAATTTACTGATTTACTAAAAATTCTGTCCTGATGTACTTAGTTGTTTCTTAGAACAACATGTATTTTACATTTTAAATTACCAAACATCACTGTGGGCAATGAACTAGTTTACACATTGTATTAATTATACTGTTTTTAGACCTGGCCAACTAGTTGCTGTAGTTGGTCCTGTTGGCGCAGGAAAGGTAATTTAGTGTTATTTTAACATTTTTTCTCAAATTATAAATATAAGCATTCAACTCCCTCAATGTTATCCTTTTTTATTATATAAACAGTGAATTAACTTTGTTTTACATGAACAGGGACTTTTTAGGTTTTTGAACTTTTAAGTTGCTTAAACTATGCCAAATTTTTAATCCTGAGAAAATACAAATGCAGAAAACGAACCAAAAATATTTTCTCTTGGAAAAAGAAGTTTAATAAAAGCATAAATTGTGTAGACAAAATAATTTTCACGAGTGTTTCTTTGGATATATCATATATAGAATACATTTCTTTATCTGGCTGGTAAAATCACCTATGGTTGGGACAACCTCTATGGTCCAGTTCTTAAAGTGGACATAGGCTATTTCCCATGAGTATCCTGCGCTATGGGGTTGATAAGGATACATTTTTTTGAGGCCTCCTATTCACAACACTCTCGGACAAAGGCCAAGCAATATAGTCCAGGGGATATTAGTTTCAAAACTTTAACATTTGGCCCATTTCTAACACTAAGTGTCAGAAATGGGCCAAATCTGCAAAGTTATCTTTTTCAAGTGTATATATCTTTAAATCCAAGACAAGTAGAACAAAATTAAACCATAAATTTATAAAAAATGGCTTAAACTATATATTTAAACAACAAATGTCAATATTAAACTAATAATAAGTTGTGAGAATTAGTTTTTGATGATTCTTGATTTCATTTTCATACATATCACTATTTTGAAACATTTACCGGATTTCAGCTCATGTTGCGTTTTCCGAACATATCCTGGTTTTGAGACAATTACCGGAATTCATATCAATTTCAATTTTCAAGCATTTACGCCCTTGCGTAACAAAACAAGATGTTTTGATAAGGTAAAAAATAAACAAATAGAAAATAAAAACTATTGTTCTTTTATATTTAAAAATCATTATAGCATTAAGAAATAAAAATATTATTATCAGTTGTTGTTACAATATAGATTTAACTAGAAATGCGGGAAACTCTTTGTTTAAAATGCTTGAAAATAAATCCTTTTAACAGATAAAATATGAAAACTTAGATTCTAGAAATAGTTCAGAAGTTAATTTAGTCTTCATAACATGATTTTTGTTTTCAGTGATTTAATTTGTAAGTTATGAAAGTCAGTTTTGTTTTGAATTGTGGATTATACTCAACAACAGGAAAGTGGGTTTTGTCTCGAAAACGCAACAATGTTTCAAATTCAGGATATGTTGGAAAATGAAAAAAATTTGTAAATTGTCTCTAAAGTCTCTTCCTTTGTCGGTAACCCTGTAGGATATGGTCTAGGAATTCGGAAGTCAGGTAGGTGATTATAAGACATAGACCAACATTATTTGCTATGTTATGTGACGTTATCGTCTCATTCTACAGCTTCCTCAATTCTGCTGGGGTAATTCAATCCAAAGAGCTAATAGATTGTGTATTCGTCATCTGTCAGAAGAGATTAAGAGTAAATTGATCAACAAGTCTGATTCATGCCAGGAATGAGACAGAGAGGACGCTGAGTGGAATGTGGGATTCATCCCAGACAAGATAAAGGAATTAGGAAAATAAAAAGTGAAACTTCATCTTTAGGATATCTCTGGCATACATCTCAGCTGAAAGAAGGAATACAGAAACTCTAAAATCAGTGATGAAGTACACGCTGATGCCGGTTTTTACTTATACTGCTCTTAAAATGGAACTGGAACTTATCTTGCTCAAGAATGAATTGCTACGAAAGAACTTATCCAGAGTTGAGTACAAAAAGGATATTTGTACTCCTCATATGCATAATGCGGTGCAAAACAAATAAGTTCATCAATTCCACACAAGTCGGAAATGACTATAAATCGAGGAAAAATTAGGCTTTTTTCAGCGATGAAAAGTTCCTCAATACCCCTCTTCCTAACCTTTTCCAAACTGCCAACTTCTCCAAATTATCCATACCTCATCATTGAAAACATCTAAAAAATAAAGAAGATAAAAAAGTTCAAATGTATGCTGGCAGGCCTAGAATTGAGATTTAGCTTAAAAACCCTTTCCACCCCTCCCTTCTGATTTAAAACATTCTGATCAGCTGTAATGAGTAAGGATTCCTGGTAAATGTAATAAGGAAATCGAAATATAAAAACAAGACACGCCTAGTCTGCAAAATAAAACACATATAGAGTGTAGGAACAGGATGTCCAAAAAAATTCAAGGACATATTGGATGTTATCAATATGTACGAAAAACTTCTCTTTCAAAATTTAACCCAAGAACATGATGGATAGGGTTTCCAGTCGAAATTTTTTGCACGAAAATCGTGCAAATATTGCGCAAAGATTTGCTCACCTTTCTAGTAAAAATTGCACAAAATTTTGATGTTTTTGCGCATTGATGCGCAAAAGCTATTTTGCGCAAATTCTCAGAAAAATGTTGGCATTTGCGTATTTCGTTATTTCCTGCTATTTTGTAATTTCGAGATATTTCATTATTTTGTTAAATTTCGAGAAAAAATTCCAGGAAATGCTGAATAAATTCAAAATAAAACCAATCTGAGTCAACTATACTCCAGCCTGCTCAGCGCTCACACATTCTGGCCGAATGAGCACCAATTCTCAAGTTTTAGGTTACCAGACCGTACTAACTATTACACCGTTTACCAGCTAAAAATCTCAAGTATTAATTAATCATAATCACATTCACATTCACTAATCATCAGTCCGGTCAGGCATGCAACTTGGGGGGGAAGGGGGCAGGGCCCCCTCTAGCCGGATTAATAGGGGCATGCTCCTCTCTCAAGAAGGCTTGCCCCCCCCCTGTAGGGGGGGGCAAGAAGTCCACCCTGTTTTGCAATTTAGCGATTCATGAATTCCTGGGAAAGGGGGTTTATTAAGTAATTTTAGATATTTTTAGTTCTGCCACTTATTTTGATATTGCAAAAACATATATTCATGCGAATATCATCACAAAATTCTGAATTAAATTTCGTATTCATTAGAAATTTCGTGCAAAAAATATTTATCTATTTTGAATGAATACGCAATTTTTGTGCAAAACTGGTTTCGTATTGATAAGAAAATGATGGTGAATTTCGTGCAAAAAAAAGTCATTTCGTGCAAAACCACACAACTGTTGCGCAATAGAATTGACTGTTTTGTGGAAACCCTAATTTGATGGAATATTAAAGCACAGGATAAAACATTGGAAAACAAGAGTGTAGTGCAGAAAATGAAGTAGTACAAGAACTGTGACAAGGTTTGTACAGACGTGTGAGCACTCTGCTTAATTGCTTTGACCATCATCTTTTTTATTAATACATATTGTTAAAAACAAAAAAAAAACAAAAAAAATGTTTATAAAATGTTACTGTAGTAACCTATTTCCTAATAATTTATAAGAAACCTTATCCTGCATACATTTTCAGTCTTACAGTTTAAAATTCAGATCTGAAATTAACTCACTGCATGTTTTGAATAAATTTTATTTTCTATCATCACATAGCTCGAGGACTTTCAATTTGATTTGCAATTTAATTAACTTTACTCAACATAGATTTTTAAAAAACATTTTTCCAAAAAAAAAGAATATTGTTTGTCCACTCAATGTTTATTTGGATAAAAGCTTTAGTAAAGGCCAAAAGCCACTTTACTCTAATTTACTAATAAAAAATAATTAAAACGGCTATGTATACTATAGTAAATTTTTTTTATTTTTTTAATAAACCCATAATGTTTATTTCATTTGTGTGTTCCACGCAAATCCTGTGGAGGCAATATGATACAAAATTAAATCAACCTCCTTGACAAATATATTAACATGTTATACTAGCTGAAGGGCCCGGCGTTGCCCGTGGAAAAAGAATTTAAAATTTGAAAAAAAAATAATTTCGAATTTTTTAGCCTATAATACCAACTCCTGAGTGTCCACAAACAATTTCAGCCCAATTGGTCCAGACTCCAGCTGTTTGGCCGGCTATAGGCAACATATATACGAATGTCTTGTTTTATTATATTGAGATATCAAGTGTTTATATGTACTCTAAAAATGACAGACGCACCCCTGAATCAATAATGACAATCTGCAGTTTCAAAACATGACAATAATTTCAATATGGTATTAATTCGTTAAGCATACTTAAAGGGAGTGTTCGTGAAAAATGAAAGGGGGTATAGGCTTAATGCGATTAAAAAGAGCTTTTGATCGCTAATAATCTTACTTCATCTGTTGCGTCTATTAGGAGAAAATTGTTAAAGACGTCTCAAAAGTACTTTTTTATCGCATTAAACCTATACCCCCTGTCATTTTTCGCAAACACTCCCTTTAATAACTATAGAGATCAAGGTAAGACTGAGCAGTATGATTTGCTTGCATTGCGATATATCCTGTAAACCATACTTTGACCAAACTCATAGGTATCCAGCTCACACCCATTCTCTATTGTAGTTTTTTATTCTGCAAACATTTGGGCGGAATTCCGCATTTTTGCGCGAAAATGAATTTTGCAGAAGCAAGCACAAGAAATGCGAAAATCTGCGCAAAACTAGTGTTGCAGCTTGCAACCAAATTGCGCAAAACCACTTTTTAGTGATAACCAGAAAACTGCAGAATAAGAAGACGACATTCAAGCAATACTGAAGTGCATTTGATGTTTTTACATAGCAAATAACTTAACTAGTAAGTTGTTAGATCACTTGTTAAGTATACACTGCACAAATTATGGAGTTTTCAAGCTAAAACTGTACGTTGAAATCTTTGTTTATGTATTTACCATCCAGCATTATAAGTATTATTATATTATATGTTGATAATTTCTCCTTTAATTTTACCCTTATCCTGCGTACAGTTTTTGCTCAAAATTTGCATCAATTTTTTTTTGCAATTTTAGCATATTTTGCACATTTGCGTGCTGTATTCGTTTTTTTCGGAATTCGTGCATTTTTTTCATGCAATGTTTGCGCGGAAAATGAGGAAGTTTGCGTGTTTATTCTACGCATAGAACGTAGGGTAATGTGGAATTGTTGAAGATGATATCTTGATTAGTTATTACTCTAATTAGTAATTAAAAATTATGAAATCTAGACGTCACTGCTACAATCGATTCTTGGAGAGCTTCCCTTGTTTTCTGGTCAACTGAATGTTTCCGGTTACATTGCTTACTGTCCCCAAGAACCATGGATATTTGCAGGTGTTTTTAAGTCGATTAAATGTTTGCATTGCAAGCCCATTAGAAATTATGAAAATTTGCTAAGTTGAACATATCGGCTTCACTTTCAATTTGATAATGTAGCCGCAGCGCTCGGCCTCCTAGCATGTCCTAGCTGCAGCGCTCGGCCCAGACTTAATGTTATCTATAATTTTCATCTCAATGTTAACACTATCCCCTATTTTATAAAGACTACCTCATGAAATCTGTTGTTAGGAAGTATTCGGGATAACATACTGTTTGGTAAATCCTACTGCAAAGAGAAGTATGAAAATGTGATATATGCATGTGCTCTGGAGCAAGATATGTTGCAATGGCCACACGCTGATCAAACACATGTTGGAGAAAAGGGTGTTGGTTTGTCAGGGGGTCAAAAATCTAGAATCACACTTGCAAGAGCTATTTACAGGTACTATGCTTCCAGTTTCACTGCACTTTGCACTGGAATTTATGCTTTAACGGTGTAAGAAACAGAACAATTTCTTTAGCAGATTTTCTGGAGGGGTTTTTTCAAAATTTCAAAAGTAACAAAAGTTAAGGGGACTGGGAAGGTCGACAATTTAAACCTACACTGTATTTCCATCGTCCCAAGACTGGAATGCCTTGTAAGGACTATTGATATAAAAAAAGGCAGTTTAGCTACATCTCTCCTCCCTCTAATAGGAAATTGAGCCCAAACCTTCTACTTACACTTCTCTTATGACGCGTTTACTCTGCTTTGAAGCAGACAATACCCTACTAACCGAAAAACCTAAAATATTTGTGTGACATTTGAATATATACATATTTGTTGGCTTGGAATACGTAAAAATGCGTATTTTCCATATGTAAGAATTATGTATTTTTGTAACCATATCCTTGGTAAAATTACGTATTTAAAATATGACAAACGTAAAAATGCTTTTGTAAGAAACCTAAAAAATCCAATGAATCAGGAATTTTTAGGGTTTTCCTATACGTAAAAATACATATTTTAGACATATTCAAGTTCTAAAACCAAAATGTTAATAAGGTATTGACTATAATTATGCATGCACTGTATGCACATTGTTCTATCATATCCAGACAACTAATTCCTCAAATTTCTTAAATCCATATTCTTATCAATTAATTCCAATCTAATCCAATAATCTTCTAAACAAATTCACACAATTGTCTTTCCTTCATCTGAATCCTTCAAAATCAACATTCATACACACAGGGTCAAAGTGTAACTTCTAATTATCAATAAATTGAGAATTTACTGACATTGATACTAATAACAAATCAATTTACTCCAAAACAATAGAAATTTTTAAAACAGTGTATTTGCCAAAATAGTTGCAGAAATTTTCTTACAATCCATTTTTTTTGAAAAATCATAAAATATTTTTAAATTCTAACTTAAAAACGCATTTTTGTGTGCAGTTTAGGTTTCGTGGTATTACACTTAGAAAAATTTATTGTAATGAAATTCAAGAAAATATCCAAATTTTAGGTTTGCATCAAACTTTTAAACTTTTAAACAAAAAATACTGCTTTTAAGTAAAGAAAAAAACGAAAAAAAAACATAAAATTAAGTAAAATAAAACCTAAAAACTTGGAAAAATTACTTGGTAAAAAGTATATGTAATTGTCAAAATCCACTTCTAGAAAATTTAAGCATTTAAAAAAAAGCTTGGTATGATGAATACAAACATATACATAAGTTCTTTACCCAAGGGTTTAAGCATACAAATGTTTACGTAAATATACCTAATAATATGTTAAGTATGTAGGCTAACCCCTCAAACAGGAAGGAAAAGTCTAGTCGGAAAACGACCCTGGTACCTTAGAAACACACTTTTCCTTCCTTATATAGGAATGATAAATGTTTCAAAGCAGAGGAAATGCTTCATAAGAGAAGTATAACAAGGAGATTTGGGCTCAACATCCTATTAGAGGGAGAAATTAAGCTAAACTGCCTTTTTAAATCTGGAGTCCAGTTTTGGGACGTACGATGTAAATCCAGTGTAGGAAATCTTGTGTCTCCCTTTAATTTGTGATATAATGATCTAGGTCGGCCACATGTTATCTCCTGGATGATCCACTTTCAGCTGTGGACTCCCAAGTTGGAAAACATATCTTTAATGAATGTATTAAAGGTTTCCTTAAACAGTCAGCAGTTATACTCGTTACTCATCAACTCCAGCATCTGAAAGCTGCTGATAAAATAGTAGTTCTTAAAGAAGGAAGAGTTCAAGAGATTGGAACATATGACAATCTCGTAAACTTTGGTGTAGATTTGTCAGCATATCTTTCGCTAACTAAAAACATTGAAACCCCAATAGATGATAAAATTGAGCTGTTAACACTTTCTGACGAAAAAACAGTATTAAATCAAATACTTCAAGATGGATTTAATAAAAGCTCTCCATCTGAAGATCTGGATTATGAAAAGAGTTTGCTTCAAAAAGAACTAAAATCAGAGTCTGTTTTGTTAAAGAATCTCCAAGAACCTGCGTTAGCTGAAACCCATAAATTGATTTCAGAAAACATCAAACAAGAAATACCGAAAGAACTGAAAAGTGTTGGTTCGGTTAACAAAGATGTTTTTCTCAAATATTTCCAAATTGGGGATAATTGGTTTTCTACTATATCCATGCTCATTTTACTCATTCTTTGTCAAGTAATATATTCTGGGTCGGATTTCTGGATAAGCTATTGGACAAGAATAGAAGAAATAAATCAAAGAGAAATTCTAATGAAACATCAAACCAATGGCACACATTTCAGGTGATGAAAGGGGTGGAGAATCTTTATTAATTTTTAAACAATGAGGTATTGGCATTTTCAAAAGCAGTAGCAAACATAAAGTATAGAGTTTAAACAAGTAAAACAATTATAATAAATAATACTCCAAAACTACCGGAAACAACTTCCATTAAATTATGATCTTTCTCGGCTTTTTGCCCCGTAACATGCCATTGCCAAAATCCTATTTTTTAATGCTTTTTAATGCGTAGCACTCAACCTTCATAAAATCTTGCATCAGCAAAGAAAGCCTAACCAGCATCTAAAAATAAAAAAAAATATATATTTATTTGCGCCATTTTTAAATAGATACACAAACCTTTAACATTAAACAGACCTCAGTTAATAGAAATTTTCCTCTTTCACCCAATTAACAGACAAAGAAACTAAATTATATTCTAGATTAGAGGAATCAGATGAAGCAGAAAGTTTTTTTTATGTTGGAATTTATTCAGCTTTAATAGGGTCTCTTATTGTAATCTCAATGATGAGAACAATACATTTCTTCCAAACTTGCATTAAATCATCTGTTAAACTACATAATCAGATGTTCTTAAGCCTGATGGGAGCTACATGTCAATTTTTCGATACAAATCCTGCAGGTAATGCTACTTTTCAATGTTTTAATCTTGGCTCAAGTACCAGATTATTTTCCACAAGCTTTAATTTTCAATCTTGATATTTTTGATGTATGATGTAAACCTTAGATACCGCAAAGGAATTAAGTCTTTCTAATCCCTACATCTCAACCTACTGTACTAAAGTAGACTTCTGATATTTTAAACTAAAAATTCTGTTAGACTAAATAGTCTAAGTTTGAAATGTCAAAGTTTTACACCATCAGGTTTCAAAGATATAGGAATTTGAAAATAAAAGTTTTTGGACTTGAAAATTATAAACCTGTAATCAAACGAAAATGTCCAGCCGAGAATGTTTGAAAAATAGGATTCTATTGTTGCTGGATCCAGGGAATAACACACAAATGAATTAATGAAAATGGGTTTCAGGTCGTATTTTGAACAGATGTTCTAAAGATACGGGTTTGATGGATGAACTTCTACCAGAAACATTTTTTGATGCCCTTTCAGTAAGTAATACGCATAAGAGAAAAAATAAAATTAATTCAAAGATTATATAATTTTATTACCAGGTTTTGTTCACACTGATTGGAATAATGTCTGTGATAATATTTTTAATACCTTGGACCCTATTACCAACACTTGTGCTTGCAACCATATTTCTTTATCTTAGAAAATTCTACATGAGGTAACTTCTTGTTCTAACGGCATTCTAAAAAGGAAACACCATAATCAAATTTTTTGACCTTAAAGTTGAATATAATATGGAACAGAACTATCAAACGTCTATTTGTGATTAAGAAAACTAAAATGCCACATAAATTGTGTAAACTGAGAAATCGTGAGATGAGCGTATACGTGCAACAATGGTTTATCTAGAAAAGAAGGAAAGGGTTAGTTTACATTCTACTTTGACGTGTTGGGACCAAAGAGTTTGGAAAACAAAGGAGGAGGGTTCAATCCGGGCAGCCTGATTATACATGCTGAACAGACGATACTCCACACTGTAAAATTTGAGATTGTATATTTTATTCAATATTTCGGAATCGCGCGATCACNTCTAATAAAACGCATAAATAACTTCCAGTATATATATTTCTTATAACTTATTACTAGAGGGTTCAGAACTAGAGTCAATATCGATATCGCACGTGTAGACTGTAGATGATGATATCAGTACTATGCCCCGTATCCGTTCTATCTCATTCTGTTGAATCTTGTGGAACTAGTTTAACGTGGCCAGGCATCGTCTTCCACAGATCTATATTAACTGATTTGAGACTTGAAGTTGGATAAATAAATAAAATTAATAAGACTAAAAATAAAATTTTTGTATTGTTGGTTAAATAAATGAAATTAATAAATAATGATATTGAAATTGATGTATTGTTGGATGAATAAATAAAATTAAATCGATTGAAGGATCTGGTTTTGTTGGAGGATTTGGTTTGGTTGAAGGATCTGGTTTGGTTGAAGGATCTGGAGCTGATGTAGGATCAACAGGTTGTGGGACAGTAGGGGGATCTTGGATGAAGGTCTTGACTGTGGTGACGTTTGCACTGGTGTTGTAATCGATTGAGGGAATTGTGCGCAGTGTAAATTCCAGAAAGTTGTAGAAATCCCAGAAAGGGAAGGGAATATGTGACCTGCTGAAAGAGTTGAGGATGTTCATGGGAGTATGTCGGGTTTCATGGAGGTTGGAGCAGTCAAAAAGGAAAAAGTCTAAATTGGTGTGCCACAGATTATACATCCCTGTTGTAGGCAGAATAAATTTCTGGTACATGTTTTCTGAGGTTCCTGGAGAGGGGACTCAGTGTTGGAAGGTTTGATTACTCCATGAATATAATTCTGTTGGAGGGATTTAAGGACGCCTTCCTAGATGTTATGGATCATGAAGTTTAAAGGTTGATTAATTTATTGGTTGACTCGTTGACTTGTTGACTAGTTGACTAAGCTCCTTTACTTGGACACAGAAGTTGCAAACATTCACTTCAACGAATATATTTCAAACCTGCAATAAAATGCAGGTATAGAAAAAATAATGTCAATGTATAAATGTTACTGAATTTTGTTGTGTCAGGGTGATAAGGAGTGACTAAGGATCGGAGGGTTTGATGGAATAGTTTAAAACATATGTAAATACTTTTGAAAATATAAACCTGGTTATTTACGTGGAATTTACTATGAATTGGAAAGTAATTTGTTGATTTGATTTTTCGTAAAAAGTTTCACTGTTTCAATTTTCCTTTGTTGGAGTAGGGAGGCAGAGTCGGGGAAGTTGTTTGGTTTGGATATTTGGCTGGTGAAGATTGGCGGTGGGGGGGTAAGGAGATAGATTTATAGTCAACAAATGTATACAATGGCCTATATAACTGTTTGATTAACAAACGCCTTGTACTTGTTTTATAATTGGTCGTTGTATGCATTATACAGGAAGAAAAGTAGGCTGAATAACTCAAAACAGAGACATTTTTGGGATGGAAAATATTAAAACCACACTTAAAAAATAAAAAAGTTGATCTTTAAAAACCCTTTACAAATGGAAAACCGTTCAGCAAAGCGTGTATAATCATATGGTGAGGCAGTACGGGTCGATCCCTTCTCCATTGTATTTCATATTCCTTGGTTGGGACAACTTATAGAAAAAATTTGTATAGAGTTAAGTTCGAAACTAGTAAGTAATAGAAAGTAATTATTTATTAATAAAATATAGCAAAAATATACAAAATTAGGTGTTTCAGGAGACGATTAACAAAAGTCATTTTCATTTAACCAAACCTAATAGTTAAGCCTAAGGAAAAACAGGAACCAAGATCAGCCAGAGTAAAATAAGTGTTCACTATGGTTTATAGGGTTACCCATAGTCAAGTTTAAAAGACAACAGTGCAACACAAAACGTTGGGGTACATCAAACAGATACAAAAGTACAATAGAAAGCAACAGAAAATTCGACCAACTGCGCACAACGTCACAAGTGTCAAATGTGAAAAGAAAGATGACATGTCCTCTAATTAGTTGATATGATTTCCAAGATTCAGAGTTTGTTGTTGTTAAAACAAATATACAAACAAATCACCCAGACACCCTTTTTTGCGAAATTCAAATAAAATATACAAGTTGTCCCATGAAATATTTTGCAGATTCAAAATTTTGGCTTATAAAGAAACATCAGACCAACAGCTTACATAAAAAAATATACGAAAATTTGTCAATTTTAGATTATATATGAACAAATGAAAATAATATGTAAAAAATATAAATTTGAAAAATACGGGAAATCGATTATCCTCAATTATATCTTTCCAGAGCAATACCCTGAATATATCATTAAACATATCTGTATATGTTTCAACGTTATACTTTCCAATTACAATGTTAAAGGGTTATGTACAAAATCAGTTTAAATTCTCTGTTATTTAGTCTATAGAACGTTAAATATGGAGTGTAAAAACATAAAAAAAAGAATTGCACTTATTTCACTAGAAGATTAGCACTTTAGTCTTATTTTCACTTTTATTCATAGTTTTTTCAGACACAGAATTTGAGTTGACACTTATGACGTAAATAAGGGTATACTGAAAGTGTACGCATTCTGTGTTGCCATCTATTGTACTTGACAACCTATTTGGGGTACATGGCTTTTAATCGATCTTGAGCAAAACAAAATAATAGAAAAACCTTGATAATAAACTGGAAATAGATTTATTGATATAACGTTTTATTTGTATGTGTGCCCACACCCCTTAAATTATTTTTTTTATTCTAATGTTTATCTATGTATTTTTAAATGCATAACAAAATGTAATATTTCAACTAACATCAAAATCTACCTTTTATTTAGCTAAACTGTAAACTGTAAACTGTAAACTGTAACACATATTTTTGAGTTAAGAAATTAAAAAAAGTTAATGTTTTCGGAGCTGTAAACCCGTAACTTCTTGGCTGAAAAATTCGCAATTAATAAGAAAAGTATTGCAATCTTAACATGCAACCCTGGTTTAAGGATTGCAATGTAAATATCAGGGATTCAATAGTGTTTATAATTTCGTTCAAAAGTTGGAAAAATTTATTATAACATTGAGAAATCAAAATTTTAATATTATTTTGTTCTTGCAATAATGCGGGAAATTATTTATTTAAAATGCGGGAAATTAAATCAACTTTAATTTCTTAATTAACAAATAAAATGAGAAAAGTAAGATTTTAAAAAAGGGTTTAAATATAAAAAAATCTACTTTTATAATTTTGATTTTAGAAAATAGTTTTAAATTGGGAATGTTGTCTTCGTCATGCTTTATAAAATGTTGGTTAAAGTTTTATCAACGACTTTTGATTTGGGCTGGGATCCTAAAGATCTAGTCTTTCAATTTGTGTTAGTTTTGGAATTAATGTTTCATGTATTTGGATTAAAGCAGTTTGTTTTGAATTCATTCAACTCCATTTATTAAAAAAAGATTACGTGCTAAAATGGTTGTAAGCTGCTTTAAAATGTAAGCACTGAAAAAAGAAATCCAATTTATAAGGATGGGCAAAAAATTTCAATCTTAACATTCTAGTATGAATATTATAGTGAATGCATTTTTTTTTAAATTCAGAGTAAAGATCTATTCTTAAGAAAAATTTTCCTTCCTCGAGGGGACTGGTGAGAATTTTAAAACTTTTGTTTTTTGGGAACAGTTAACATTTTTGTCTTTCTTCCGACAATAAATAAGCTATTTTAGCTTTGCATTTTATAGAAATATTCTGTCCATTTCTTTTTCTTCAATATAACATCATCTTTATTCTACACAGGGCCCACTGTTTACCAACTGCACAGTTGTAAAACTTTTCTCGGCACCCTGAATACAACAGATATTTTTTGTCAAAACAATTCTTTTTGCTGTAATTGATAAAATCATTTTAAAATTAATTAAGACAACTCTTAAAATTAACAATAAAAATCTATGGTTCAAGTTACCACTCACAACCAGATGATAGGCTTTTAGAATTAATTTCAAAATCTAGATATGTTTCTTGGGCCAAAACAAAAATGTAATAACCTCTATCAAAATGTAGAAAATTTTTTGATATCTTAGATCAGCAAGAGATATTAAAAGAATTGAAGGGATATCCCGTGCTCCTGTTATATCTCAAATGTCAACATCAATTAGCGGCCTTGTCTCAATCAGAGCATTTTCAGCGCAACAACTTATAAGGTAAACTATACAAGTTACGAAAGTTTGTATTAAGATTTTGATTCAACTGGAGACCACCGGAGGGTTTTTATCTTCAGTGTAGAGGTCTGAAAAATCGCTATTTACAATTTGAAACTATGCGCAGCGCAGGGTGATTTACATTTCACTGGAAGGATACAGATATTCTTCCTGCGGGTTTAGAACTCCATTGGGAGGGATTCAGATATGCTTCAAGGGTTTTATAATTTCTTTGAAGGGATACAAATATCCATCCAGGGGGTCTATGATTCCACTATAAGAATTCAGATATTATTTCAAGGGGGTTTATAATTCCACTAGAGGGATTCAGGTATCCTTCCAGGGGGTTTACAATTCCACTGGAGGGATTTAGACATGCTTCCTAAAGGTTTATAATTCCACAGAATGGATTCATTTATCCTTCCTGGGGGTCAATAATTCCCCTCAAGGGATTCAGATATCCATCCTGAAAGTTTATAATTCCACTGGAGAGATTCAGATTTCAATCCAAGAGTATTATAATTCCAATGGAGGGATTCAGATATCTATCCATCAAGGAGGTTTATTGGAAGGATTCAGATATCTATCCAGGTGGTGTATAATTCCACTGAAGAGATTCAAATGTGCTTCCAGGTGTATTATAATTCCAATGGAGGGATTCAGATATCTATCCATCAAGGAGGTTTATTGGAAGGATTCAGATATTCAGATACTCCTTTGGGTTTTAAATTCCCCATGTACCCATATCTGAATCCCTCTAGTGGAATTTTAAACCCCTTGGAAGGATTTCTGAATCCATCCAGTGGAATCATTAACTTCCTGGAATGATATCTTAATTCCTCCAGTAGAATTAAAGACCCCTTGGAAGCATATCTGAATTCCTCCATGAAATCATAAACCATCTTGAAGAATCCCTCCGGTGGAAGTGTAAACCCCAGAAAGGATATCTGAATCTCTCCATTGGAATTAAGGACATCTTGGAAGTATATCTGAATCCCTCCAGTTGAATTATAAACCGCCTGGAAGCATATCTGAATCCCTCCAGTGGAATCATAAACCCTCTATAGATGGATATCTGAATCCTTCCAGTGTAATTATAAACCCCAAGGAAACATTATCAGAATCCCTCCAATGAAATTATAACCCCCTTAGATGAATAACCAAATCCCTCCAGTGAAATTGTTAATTCCCAATGATATATTCTTTGGAGAAAAAAACACCTAAATTTTACGCAGTCTGGAATAAGATTTTTTTATTTTCTAACTAATAATTGGATTAACCACTAAAATTTAATTATTTTAGAAATAATTTTTAACAAAATTTTAAGCAGCTTTTTCCCCTCAACCAAGGAATCACATTTTTTGCATAAACTTTTTTCTTATTTCAACCGCTGGGTTTCATATTTATTTTTTAAACTGCTGGATTCCACATTTTTAATAAATGTTTTTGTTTTTAACTTTTGTCCTTTTAACCACTGAAATTACATTTTTGACATAATCTTTTTTCCTTCAACCGCTGGTTTAACTCTTTTGATTAACCTTTTTTTCTTTTTCAAGGCCGCTGGTTTCCACATTTTTAAAAACTTTTTTGGTTTTAGCTTTGGTCTATGTCAGTATATTGTTATTTTTTGATAAAAAAAGTTCCGCCCTGCAAAGTAGACAAAAGTCAACGTTTTTTACATGTATGTCAACTTTTTGTAATTTATCAAGTTGAATTTTTTAGGTCAACTGTAATACCAATTTTTAAAAAACCTCTTTACCACTTTTATACACTGTTTTTTACCACTAATATTAAACCATAAAAATGTTCATATACATACATACATATTCCTCGACGTTGAAAGAAGAAAAAAGTTTCATAAAAAGAGGTAAACCAGTGGTTGAAGAAAAAGAGGATGTATAAAAGTTGGATTCCACCAGTTGGAGGAAAAAAGTAAAAGTCCCGATATTTTTTTTAATGTGAAACCCAACGTTTGAAAGAAGAAAATTTGAGACAAAAATTTGATTTTAGCGGTTGAATGAAAACAGTTTCTTTTTAAATATGAAACCCAGTAATTGAAAGAAAAAAAAACGTTTATAAAACTAATTAAACCAGCGGTCGAAGGAAAAAAAGATTTAATAAAAAAGGAAATAAAGTGAACAGAAAAGTTTTTCTAAAATGTGGAGTCCTGTGGTACAAAGACGAAAAATGTGGAACCCAGCACTTTAAGGAAAAAAATCTTGTACAAAAGTTTGATTCCAGCGGTTGAAAGAAAAACGTTAAAACCAAAAAAAGTTTATTTCTTTAAAAATAAAACCCAGCGGTTTAAAGAAGAAAAAAGTTCCACAAAAAGATTCCAGCAGTTGATTGAAAAAACTTTAAACCAAAATTTTTCTTTTTGGTTTAGGAAACGGAGCGGCTGAAAAAAGAAAAAAAAACTTATATAAAACAAATTAAACTAGTGATTGAAGGAGAAAAAAAGATTTCGTAAAACAAATGTGATTACAGTGGATAAAGGAAATAAGTTGAACAGAAAAGTTTTTAAAAATGTGGACTCCAGTGGTTAAAAGAAGAAAAATGTGGAAGTTAGCCCAGCAATTAAAGATAAAAATCTTGTAAAAAATTTTTATTCCAGCAGCTAAAAGAAAAAGTTGAATCCAAAAATTGTTTTTTAAATATGAAAAGAGCGGTTGAAACCCAGCGGTTGCAAGAAGAAAAAACGTTATATAAAACGAATTAAACCAGAGATTTAAGGCAAAAAGATTTTCTAAAAAATGTGATTCCAGTGGTTAAAGGGAAAAGGTTAAAAAGAACAATTTCTTAAAAAAATTGAACCCAAGTTAAGTCAGTTCTGAAGTTGCTTGATTTTCAGAAGCAAAATTTGTTAGTTTGAAGCTTTTGAAGAGAGGTAAAAGATGTCTAATGAGTAACATAAAAATATCCGTAGCTAAGAACGAAACTGTGGTGCAAATATTATGTTTAATGAGAATTTTTTTTCAAACCGATAAATTAAGTTTTTGTAACGACAACATTAATAGTTGTAAACTATTTATAGCCCCTACATAAGAATTTTGGCACCAAAACAATAATTTAAAACCTTTACCAAACCAAATAATTCTGTAGGCCCAACTAGTTGACTTTAGTATTTATCTACTTTGAGCCTCCAGTGGAGTCAAAATCTGTTAAAAGACAAAAGAACTTCTAAATAGATTCTAACAGTCAAAAAGAAAATATTTAGCAGCACCCTCAATTCTTCATTTTGTGAGACTAGCTTGCGTGTTGAAAAAATCCTATTTCAAGAGTTTTCGTTTGAAATTCTTAACTAAAACATAATATTTAAACATTCAAACAACTTAGAATAAGCGATCGTTTTTTAAACAATATTATCATTAATATAAATATGAGTTATTTACTTTTATGAATAAGAAGAAGGTTTTATTTAACGATCGTTGACGATGGGCCGTCGTTAACGGTCATTAACAAAGGATCATTGTTAACGATCAGTAACAAAGGTTGCCGTTAATGATCCTTAACAAAACGACAAACTTAATAAAAAACGAACGTTTTAAAAACGACTGTTTTTTCATAATGATGTTTTTAAAACGATCGTTTTTAAAATGATCTTACATTTTTAGTTGTTTTTGTCGTCGTTTTCATAATGAAACAATCGTTTTTTTAAAAAAATGAAAACGATCCATCCCTAGGTACAAGACAAGATTTAAAAAACTAAAAAGGAAAAAATATTAATCATGCATCTGCATGCTAAATATTTCTTTCAAAATAGGTTGAAACAAATAACAATGATAATGTGTTTAGTGCTGAGTTTGACCGTCTCCAAGATATACATTCCTCGACATGGTACACCTTTATCTCAGGGACTCGATGGTTTGGATTATGGCTAGACTGGATTGTACTGGTTTACCTAATCTGTGTTATACTTAGTTTTTTCTTTCTTCAAGGAGGTGGAGTAAAAAAATGTTATATAATTAGTTAAAGACAACTTAAATATTTTCTTTGACGACCAAGAATTTAAGTTAGAAAAAAATGTTTGCACAACTTTCTAGCTTTTCTAAATGTCTCCTACCTTCCTTGTATCTGAAAATTACAAAGATGTTTGATGTTTAGTCACATTTTTGTCATTTTTGTTTTTTTGTCTCCATAAATTTTAACTCTGAAAGCACAAAAGACAGTCCACATCAAAAAACGTCAGAAGTCAGAACCAAAGATAAAACAGTATATAGATCAGGGGGCGAAAATGTCAAGTGTGTGTGTCCGTGCCGAATGAGTGTACTTTTGTTAAAGCTTCGATAAGGAACCAAATATGTGTACTGTAGATATAAAGAGTACATAAGAATCTAGGAGAGTTCATTTGTGTATTGTTTAATGTTTACTTACCAATAAGTTTAATATATATTGTTATAAATATTTGGTTTCTCTTATAACAAGCCGAATGTAAATCATAGGGAGTTTTCAGATCCATCAATTGCACCCAGGGTTGTAAGGCAGATGCTGAACTCCAACCTTCGAGTGTGCGAGGGGGGTAGACTTCACTGCCGGGCTTAATTAAAAGCATGATTAAGGGGGGATGCCATTTGTAGATCCAGATTGAATCCTAGCCGCAGCGCTCGGCCCAGAAAGTGTCATAACTTAACCTAACCCGTGGCCGCAGCGCTCGGCCCCCTAGCCTGTCCTAGCCGCAGCCTTCGGCCCAGAAAGTGTCTTAACCTAACCTAACCCTAAATAAATACTAATTTAATTGAAAAAGTGGTCATGTACAAAAGTAAAATCTGCAGTGAAGTCTTCCCCACCTCGCACACTCGAAGGTTGGAGTTGAGCGTCTGCCTGGTTGTAAGGCTTATGCAATTATTTCACTCTAGATCCCCGTACCCTTGTTTTAATAAATATCTGTTTATTAACCTTTCTGTCCATGTCTCTCAGAGTATAAATCAGTTGGGATTAATCAGTTTCATGTTTTATATTAGGTATGTGCATGTTTACTTAGGTTTATTAAATTCCTTCAGATATTCAGCTGCTACAGTCCAGCATCTATCTAGGCAGCTTCTCCAACTCGATATCTTGTTTAGCTGCTCCAGTTAAATATCTCTTACACTGAATCTGAGCTGCTACTCTAGCTGCTTCCAGAGTCTTTGTTAACTTGGCTGCTCTAACCTTATGGGATGCTTCCACTACCTTCCAAGCTGCTTCCTTTATTAACAGAGCTGCTTCTATAGTTTCTGCTGTGTTATCATTATTGTTGTCATTGTTATCATCGTTGTTATCTTGATTGTTATCATCCTTGTTATCATGATTGTTTCTTCCATAGATCTGTGAAGAGCTGTTCCACAATGAGTATCCCCAAAAACAGCTGAAATGTGGGAGGGGGGGGGGAAGACTTCTGGATATTGATGCGGAAGAAGGCTGGTGTCCGCCTTGGTACTCGAGTAGGCATATTAATGTTTTATCCTCCTAAGAGCTGTCAATGAAGTACAAGTCACCAGGCCTTAAGTGGGACCAACGGAGCAAAGGCTTAAACATCTGTCCTGTATAAGATCCTAGAGTGTACTAATCAATCTCCAGGTTGTGAGACAAAGAGATGACGAAAACAAATTAATTGTTCTGCACTTCCTTTGACTATAGGTTTTAAATAGCAAAGTGTTTTGTGCGCATGCGCTACAGTTCGAACCAGTCTGTAAAGCATTGGACTGGCTTTCTCATGACAGACCAGTGCCATTTTCATTCCCCTTATTTCTATTCCCTTATATAGATTGAAAACGTAAATGGTGTACACAAAGTATTGTACTCTCCACTGATTCTATACAAAGGATCACATATTAAGGTTTAGTCTGTACATGCAGAATGCGGGGTGTGTATATTGCAGGCCACAAATTGAACATTTGTTCTTCTAGTCTCCAGAATATCTTGCGATAGATATTTTTCATGCATATGTTTCAACTTTAATAAGCCAAAATATGTGCTTAAGATCCATTACACGCAAAAAGAATCTGTCTCAGAGCTTTGCTTGTTGAAGTTTTAAATGAACTAGCAGAAAAAACTATTGTACTCCATTCAAAGGTTCATTGTAAACATCAATATAGTGGCCTAAACGCTCTATGTAGTTCCTACCACAGATTTCTTTAATTTTTCTGTAAAGTCTATAGGAAATCTATCGCATACTTTAACCCCTCAGGACAGAGATATGTCCCATAATAGAAAAGAATTAAGATACAATTTTACTGAACCTCCTTCAAGGCAAGAGGACAAAACGTTAACAGCGATCAATATATTTAAAGAGTTTTATGTCCTCGTTGTTTGGAATCCGGTCACATGCATATGTTTTCATTCAATGATTTTAACCTGTCACATCTGCTGTACATATATAATCCACCTAAAAACTATCTCGTTTTTGTGTGTGACTAAATTACTTTGGATAACAAAACATTCAAATTGAGTCTTTTCAAAAACTCAAATTTCCTAAAACCTTTATCTTTGCAACCTGGCTGTATTCAAACTTAGATTTTTTATCTTTAAGAATGTATAGTTTTAAATTACGAAGGCCTACATTGCTGGGTTGTGTATCTAATAACTTTAATTTTTTTAGAGGTTATTGGTGGTGATGTCGGTTTAGCAATTACTTCCTGCATTCAAATGACCGGAATGCTTCAGTGGGGGGTGCGACAGTCAGCAGAAGCAGAGAACTTAATGACTTCTGTAGAACGTATTTTGGAATACTCCAATTTACCTCAAGAAAAGAATAAACCATCTCCTGAAGAACTCCCCATAAAACTTTGGCCGGTCCAGGGGGTAATAGAATTTAAAAATGTTTGTCTCAGATATGTCGAAAATGAGCCCAGTATTTTAAGTTCCATTAGTTTTAAGACAGAACCTTGTGAAAAAATTGGAATAGTCGGACGATCTGGGGCTGGTAAATCAAGCATTATAACAGCCCTGCTTAGACTTGCAGAACCAACAGGAAATATATACATTGATGGTCAAAATATCATGAAAATGAGGCTCACGGATTTACGGTCTTCAATATCGATTATTCCACAAACCTCTCTAATATTTTCTGGAACTTTGCGTGAGAACCTTGACCCACTGAAAAGAAAATCTGATGCCGATATTTGGAGAGTTCTGGAAGAGTTCCAACTAGTTGAAGCTGTCAAAAATCTTGGAAAAGGTTCGTAAATAAATGACGGTGAAATAGGAGGAGGGGGGGGGGGCAGTATTGCGGTAAAAAAAATCATGCTGAATTGTAGTGTTACACAATTTTGAAAGACTAGATTCCAAGTTGATAATATCATTAATTTTCAATTTTAATCAATTACGTATCATGTATATAAGGTTAGAGTGTTAACTAACTTTACTTATTCGGATTCATAAAATTACGCGGATTTCACAATTGATCAAACATTTAACATTATTTTTTTACTGTTTACATGAGATAAAGTAATGATGTTTAGTTAACGTCATATTCCAATAAAATCATAATTTTTCTTCCTTTTTTCAGGTCTTGAATCACCAATAAGTAATAGTGATGCAAGCTTTTCAGTCGGTCAGCGACAATTGATCTGTCTTGCAAGAGCTGTTTTTGAAGAAAATCGTATCCTTGTGTTAGATGAAGCAACATCAAATATAGATAGAACAACAGATAAACTAATCCAAAACATGATAAGAACTAGGTAAATGCAGAGGTCGTAAAACTGAAAAAAAATAAAATTATAATGATCAATAAAAATGAAAAACATAATATTGCCTGAAATAATTACGATGGTTAAAATTACAATGGGGCAATTTATAATTTTAACTAATGCTCTAAAAGTTAAAGCGAAGGTAAACACTAGGGTTTCCAATCGAAATTTACTGCTCGAAAATCGTGCAACAATTGCGCAATACATTTCGAGTAAAAATTGCACGAAATTTCGATATAATAACTCACTGATGCCCATAAGCTATTTTGCGCAAATTGTGAACAAAATCTTGGTTTTTGTGCATTTCCTTACTCCTGTTATTTCGTTATTTCGAGCTATTTCGTTATTTTGAACTTGTTCGTTAAGTTTGGAGAAAAAATTCCAGGGAAAAAAATGAATCCAAAATGAATCCGATCAGAGGAATCAGAGCCCCACATTTCTACGGTTTGCTCTCATGCGCACCTTTCTAAGGTTTTATAACACCATTTAGTTTTAAGACAATTTGGTACAGCCGACGCGGAGATAAGTAACAAACAAACAGACACCCAAACAAGAGAAATGTATACATATTTATATATTTATATATTATTTATATATATTATACATATTATATATATTTACATAATAGATGAGACGAACATCCAGTGGCACATTTTTAACGTTTTTTCAAAAGATATTTTTCATCTTTTTGGGCATACGAACACAAAAGGACACTGTTTCATGTAAAAGACCGCATTCAAAAGTAATTACAATATGAGAGTGCCATCTTAAATCTTAAAATGTTCTTTGAATTATCTCTCAATTATAAGGGCTAAAAAATGTTATAAGGAAAGCAAGCAGAGTCAGGTAAACTTGACCTTATGTAAATGTTTTCAGCTGTGTAGGCCAGATCAACACCTGTGCATCAGAGCAGCTTCTGACTGCAAGAAGTAGGAGGAGCTAAATAGCCTCTAGCCGTGCCGTACCGTGCCAAGCCTACAGCTACAGCTGGCCGAGCAGAGTGGGAGTCACACAGTCTGACAAACCTTAGTAATGTTTTGAACAGCATAGAGAATTTATCTACTCTGGAAATACGCTGTACATATGTTCTTTGAATAATACAGGCATAGCAGATCTGCAAACTATAGGAATTTAATAAAGCGATTGCTTAGGGCTCATGAAGCCTTGTTTCAACTACATTGTACGAACATATGGAAAATATACCTTCTTATATATCAGGTATTCACCATTAGCCTTTTTATATATATTATACATATTATATATATTTACATAATAGATGAGACGAACATCCAGTGGCACATTTTTAACGTTTTTTCAAAAGATATTTTTCATAACAAATTTTTATTAAAGAAAGTAACAAACATTTTTATAACCGTGTCTAAACTATAGAAAATGATAAAAATAAATGGTTCATGAATAAAATACGGCAGATATGGAAGGTGTTTTTTACTGAAACTAATTCACATAATACTGTCCAAATATTTAAATCTCTTATATTTTTGCAATTATGCCATGACAAAAATATTACTTATTTTTGTTTTCATTCGCAAAATAATGGAAAAATTATGACTTTATTATGTATTCTCCGCAATTTCGTGCTACAAAATACAGATTTAATTAGATTGAATCCACAATTTCGTGTAAACATGGTTTCAAATTAATAAGAAAATGATGCGAAATTTCGTGCAAAAAAATCATTTCTTGCAAAATCGCGGAACTGTTCCGAAAGAGAATTTGCTGTTCTGTGGAAACCTTAGTAAACACTGAGAGTTTCTAGATTACTTCAAACATGTACGTCTTCAACAATTAATGTACTTTTCCTTTTTCACAACTCTCTGCACATACTCCCTTCCCATTCTGGTAAATTTTTCGTTTCGTTTCTGGTAGATTTGAGTTTTGAGTCAACAGAGAAGATATTTCAAGGTCGTCTTCTGGCCTCTGGGATTTATTTACAATTATAAACACTATTTGATCTCTGTAACCTCTATGAAAATTAAATAAATGATAATTATGCAATAGCGCCATCATTTAAACTTATAAGCTTTCTGATAACTTAATACCATTTATTTATTTTATAAACTTATATATAGTTTAGACTTGTATTCCAATAGAAAGCAAAATAGCTTTATCAAATTAATACAGTTTAATCCAGAGCTTCGGAGCTATCGAAAGAATTCATAAAATTCCATTGTCCAGTACCCTGCTAATAATGGAATGCTTCAGATATTTGATTTTCTAATTGAATAATGTTTAAAACTGTTTCCGCATATTTCTTGGCTATTTATTCATTTTTACAATTACTGAGATTTAATTACATACTGGGCGTCCCAATAAACATGGGAATTCAGTGACAAATTCGATATCGTCTTTTTAAATAATTCTTTGATTTAGTATAGTGATACCTACTGAGAAAGCTGTAATCTGTAAGAGTTTCGTCTACTATGTTCACATTTTGTTTGTTTATGTTTTGACAGCATATAGTTGTACTTAGTAAAACAAGAAGATTGTAGTATACAAACAGAGTAAACTTGGCCGTCTTCACTCTTCATTATGCGAAGACATTATGGACACATCTTTACAGTCTTTTACCCTTTTCATAAAATTAAATCTAGCAGACATAATAATATTATGGCTTTTAAAATTAGTTATTACAATGCTAATTCATAACAAAGACGATATCGAATTCGTCACTGAATTCCCATGTTGTTGGAACACCCTGTATAAAACCCATTAAAAATTAAAAAATGAAATAATACAAATTCTTCCGATTTTTCCGAAATGATGGTTTAAATGTGTTCAATTTCTTTTTTTGGGCGGCAAATTCCATTTTTTTATCATCAAAAATTTTTTCAGTTGTCAAATTCAAATTAATAATTTTTGTAGGTTTTTCAATTGCACAGTTCTTACAATAGCTCATAGGCTGGAGACTATAATGGATTCAGACAGAGTAATGGTAATTCAGCAAGGAAAGGTAAAATATTCCTTTCAAACGTTAATTTAAATTTACTAACCTTTTACGGCGCTTCGCGCCCATCTTCTATTTAATTGTTAACATGTTCTCTTTGTGTATACCATAAAACAAAACAAAAAATTCGCGGATATTAACAACAAATTTTGTGGATTTTCAAAATGTTTAAAAATTTAATGAAAATCTAATTTTGATGGAGACAAATATTTGAAATTTTGATCATTCATTAACCTTCCCTAGGGTCATGTGAGGTCCCACACAAAATTTGGGCCTGATCGGTTCAGCCGTTTTGACGTTTATTGGATACAAACAAACATACAGACAGACAGAAAAGCTAAATTTATATATAGATATTGAATTTTCTGTTTTTATCTTTGTAGATTGTTGAGTTTGCTTCGCCAGACATATTACGAAAAAACAATGGTGGGGTGTTTAGCCATCTAGCGAGGGAAATTGGAGCTAACGATGCTCAAATCAAGACGAAAGATTAAAAAAATCATCATATAAGTTCTGCAGACGGAGAAACAAAAAATGGGTGTGTGTAGATGAAAATGAGAAATTGTTAGCATAGAAGGAAACTATATGAGAAACTTTAAAATTTTAACTAGCAATGGAGACTTATGTTTTTAGTTATCAATAAATATTATACAGTAGTTTAATAATAAAGCTTTAAAGTAACATATATATACAGTACACAATGTAATGGAAATTATCAAATCAACCCAAAAGTTGAGATAAAAGTTTATCTCAAAGCATTGTTTTTAATTTTAAGATAAAAGACAAAAATGAACTTTTCCCTGTTAGCATTATTTGTAAGGTTACCAAAGTTACAAACCACCAATATTGGTAAAAAGATATTTTTTTCATAAAAACAAAAAAAAGGTCGTGGATTTTTTAAATATTTTTTCGCGCATTTTAAAAATTTTTGTAATTCTGAGAATTCATAAACCTTCCATGTGGTCCTGCAAGGTCCCACACAAAATTTGAGCCTGATCGGTTCAGCAGTTTTGACGTTTATTGGACACAAACAAAAAAACAGACAAGGAAAGTTTATATAGATAATAATACAATAAAATAACATAATGTATGAGATATTAAGTGCAAAAGGTTCAGGGTACTATTTCATTTAACCTCAAAGGATGCTCTTTCTAGATTGAAGATAGTGTAGAGCATATCCAATAATATCCTTAGTAGAAAAGATTCATCTCATCTAGCCAACAATCTAGGATTCCCTGGAAGGCTGGAGTACTTGCAAGTTGCAATCTTGAAACTATTAATTTAGGAGTCCGTCTTGCTCCCTTTAGTGTAATATCAGTTTATTTGTCTGATGGATCTATGTCATTAAACTTTAATTAGAATACACCAAGAACATATCAAATGCCAGGAGGAGGTGATCTTTAGGGTACACTTCTTTGTAATGCAGATTGTATATTGTATAACCACCCACTAGATTTTAAAATGTTGATAATTTAACTATCCTTGAACTTCTCTATTTATCCAATCTGAAATATCCTCATACTAATATACAACCATAAACTACATGTTGCATCTAGGGTTTCCAGCGACGAAACGTTTCGTGAAAAAATGCGAAAATTTTCTGTCGCATTTCGCAAAATTTTTCGCGAAAACATGAAATGCGATTTCGCGAAATGCGAAAATGAAATGCAAACATTTTGTGAAAGCCATGATTTTCATAGCTGCAAAAATTAATTGCTCAAAAGAACTTGTGGAATTCTCCGCTCAATATTTGAAATTATCATTGTTTTAATTAAAAAAAAATGTTTGATCATAATCATGTATAACAACGACAAGTGGCAAGTGTAAAATGTAAATTTTTTTTTAACGTACAGGGTTTCCCAAAAAACATGGGAATTCAGTAACAAATTCGATATCGTCTTTGTTATGATTTAGCATTGTAATACCTGATTTCAAAAGCCATAATATTATTATGTCTGCTAGAGTATATTTATGAAAACTGTAAATGCCTGTAAAGATATGTCTATAATGTCTCCGAAAGATGAACATTGAAGACGGATAAGTTTACTCTGTTTGTATACTGCAATTTTCTAGTTTTACTAAGTACAACCGTATGCAGTCAAAACATAAACAAACAAAATGTGAACATAGCAGACGAAACTCTTACAGATTACAGCTTTCTCAGAAGGTATCACTATACCACATCAAAGAATTATTTGAAAAGACGATATCGAATTCGTCACTGAATTCACATGTTTATTGGGACACCCTGTATCTTGGAACTATGGATAGTGAATTTTAAAATATTCCAAATTATTTTGGTTCTTCCCGTAGTTTGTAAATTTTATTTTGTGTTTTAAGAAAAAAAATCTTAACGTTCGAGAAAGTATTTTCGAGCAAATTTATGAATTGTCTGATTTCTCCTAGTCGTTCTTAAATCTATATTTATATTTTGTGTTAATCCATTAATTGGGCTTTGAAAGTGAGCCTTGTATCCTAAAAATTTTAACTTTTTTGATGAATTTTCGCAACTTTTTCGCTAGAATTTTGCATTTGTTTTTTGAAAATTCTGCATTTTTCTCGAAATTTTCGTTTTATTTGCATAATTTTCATTTTTTCGCGAAATTTTTGAAATATTTTTTCGCATTATTTTTTTGCGAAATTTTCGTCTTTTTTATTTCGCGAAAATTTCGTATTTTTTCGTGAAACAGAATGAAGAAAAATGGTCCCCAATAAAAATTTCGCTTTTTTCGCAAGCAAACAAAATACAAAAATGCGAAATTTTCGCGAAACGATTTTTTCTTTCCCCTAGTTGCATCTTATATTGGTTTTATTCATATTTTTATCCCTCTGACTAACCTACACAGTACACACTCATATATGCATATAATAAATATAGTATAGCTCCATATTTGTAAACCTGAACATACCTATATATATTATGTGTTAACATTATACCCTATTACGTTCGTAAATTCACCTTGGTGAAACCTATCAGTCCTTATCATTAACCTGTATTACGATTTAGCTTAATCACGTTCATTGATTTAACCTGTAACATAAAAGCCAAAATATACATTAGTTGCAATAAGACTTGATTACCGTGTCGGTATTAGAGTAATTTTTTCCTAGTGTATCGAACGACCATCTCGTCGTTTCTGGATTAGATATGGACTAGGAAATGTAGAGAATATTGTATCTGGATTGATACATACTAAGATATTATATGGAACGAGAGAGTTCGAGGACAGCTTGCATCTGGGCGATACAGACTGAAGCATATTGAGGGAAAGAGAGAGTTTGATAACAGTTTGTATTTAGGCGATACAGACTGAGTATTACAGAGAGCTAGTTGTATCTGTATATGGATACATACTATAGAGTACAACAGCCTCATATCTGTATTGATACAGACTGAGTATTACAGAGAGCTAGTTGTATCTGTATATGGGTGCTTACCATAGAGTACAACAGCCTCATATCTGTATTGATACAGAATGAGTATTATTGATCGGACAAGCGAGTTCAAGAGCGAGTTGAATCTGTGCGATACACATTAAAGAATACATATAGTCCGTGAATCATATACCTGAAGTAGGAGAGAAAGTGCCCATGTCTACTGGAAGTGTTAAATTAGTGAAAGAACAAGAAGAGGAGAATTGGAAAGACGAGGGGTTTGTAGAATTCATGTTACCAGAAGAACAAGAAGCAGGCTGAGAATTAGTACTTCCAGATAATGGTTATAATTTGTCAGGCAGTATTCAATCTCTTCTGTAGAATCAGATAATTCTACAGAAGAGAAAAAGAGGAAGTTTATTCATGAAAAGTTCCAGATAGATGAAAATAAGATATGAAACCAGGATGAAAAACAAAAGAGGAAGTGATCAAAATATTCCGGGAAGGCTTTTTGGTTCTGGCGTTACATTCCAAACATTAAAGGAAAACAAATATCTTAGAATTTGTAAGCCATAAGAAGAGATCAGTGAAAATGAATGTAGAATACCAGCTAGGCAATGAAGTAAAAATGAAGATAACATTTGCAACAGATCTAGAAGAGGATCTAGAAGAGGATCTAGAAGAGGATCTAGAAGAGGATNGATTTACGCAAAAGCTCATTATATAGATTGACCTCCACCCCTACTCTATACACATACATCTAAACAGTTTGTTTTTAATCTTTGTGACAGAAACAATCTCAAGGAATAATAATTGTCTTAAAACATTTTTTCAAAATTGAATATTTGCAAATTATCTTTATTCCAACTCATAATCTGAGTTCGTTTCTCTTATGTCCATTTGACAGCCCAAATTTTTAATTTTTAATAATCTTTTTTGTTCGTTTATTTTCTTGTGATTTTTTATCGATTTTGATGGTTATTATATCGTTAGAACTGACGAGGGTCAACCCAGACCGAAATATATTTTCAATAAATGTGGAACTAACATCTACTTTTTCACTCTACAGAGGTTTGGTCCATCACCATCACCGAACTTGAAATCTACCTGAACCCTGATGGATCCTATAAATTCCTTATAAAATAAATACTAGAGGTTTGGTCAGAACTGCAACACACATAAATACGGTATTTATTGAGGGATACAAGATCGTCATATCTGGATAGATACAGACTTAGTATAATAGCTGAGAGTCAGCAGGCGTTGTATCTGTAGGATACATATTAAGAGAACTTATTTGAGTGAGGCATTTGCTACAACCAGACTGAAACTAAATATCTCTAACCTCAAAAGAATCAAATCAATAAAGGTACTGGGAGTCTGGATGTCTGAAATCCTAGACTGGGAGACTACTTTAAGAGAGATATGTGAAAAAAGGTTACACACGAGTATTCTTATTTTGTAAACTTAATTTTATTGATATAAACCTCAAAGAGTTCTTATTGTTTAAACAATGTTTATATTCAAAGTATACTGGAGTACTGTTATGTGGAGTTTATCTTTAACCAAAGCACATAATGAGGCCCTGGAAAAGGTTCAGAAGGTTTCCCTAACAGTTATAGAAGTGTATGTTGATTAGTTATTTGCTTTATCCGTCCTAGAACTAGAATTCTTAGAGGTTAGACGAGATAAACTCTGTTTATCCTTTGCAAAGAAATGCATCAAATCTCAAACACACTCTACTCTGTTCCCAGTAGCTTCGGTTGTGCACGACCACCAGCTATGGATTGTAGAGCTTTTTACTTTAAACCATGCTAAATTGCAATTTCAATGACCTTAACTTTTCATTTTAAAACGTATAAACTGCTGGAAGACTCAAATGATTTGGCATGGAAAACCGTGTGGTTGTGGCTCATGACTGCCGGAAGGCAAAAAAAGATAATATGTGGCATGGAAGGGGAAAATGTTGTGGCTGATGGCCGCCTGTCTTCAACCGCTTGCTAGAAAAGTGAGATATAGAAAATCTGTAATGATATGCAGAGACAGTCAAACTCTATTATATCTATTTAAATAAATGATATATTCAATAATAATCGTTTCTTAAAGGAACTATCGAAGAAATTATAAAATGCTTTGGTTTTGATTTATCTCTTATGAATCTTAGTCAGGTATACCAATGGTGAAACTTTTAAATATCTGCCCTTCGATTGTATACACTTTTTGGGCATACGAACACAAAAGGACACTGTTTCATGTAAAAGACCGCATTCAAAAGTAATTACAATATGAGAGTGCCATCTTAAATCTTAAAATGTTCTTTGAATTATCTCTCAATTATAAGGGCTAAAAAATGTTATAAGGAAAGCAAGCAGAGTCAGGTAAACTTGACCTTATGTAAATGTTTTCAGCTGTGTAGGCCAGATCAACACCTGTGCATCAGAGCAGCTTCTGACTGCAAGAAGTAGGAGGAGCTAAATAGCCTCTAGCCGTGCCGTACCGTGCCAAGCCTACAGCTACAGCTGGCCGAGCAGAGTGGGAGTCACACAGTCTGACAAACCTTAGTAATGTTTTGAACAGCATAGAGAATTTATCTACTCTGGAAATACGCTGTACATATGTTCTTTGAATAATACAGGCATAGCAGATCTGCAAACTATAGGAATTTGATAAAGCGATTGCTTAGGGCTCATGAAGCCTTGTTTCAACTACATTGTATGAACATATGGAAAATATACCTTCTTATATATCAGGTATTCACCATTAGCCTTCAAAAGCGTAACGACATTATATGTGGATTTGCAGAGGGTGGGGTGCAAGCAGTGCATAACCCCCCCCCCCAGTAAAATCAAGTAGTGTCCCCTTGAGGAGCAAAGATAGTATCATTTCTGTGTTCCCCTGTGTCCCCCTGGAAAATTTTCGGGCGAAACTATGAAAAGGCTTCTTAAGATTGATTTTAAAGAATGGATTACAATTTTTTCTTATATTTTCTTTATGTGTATAGAATGGAAAGGTTATGCCAAGGGTGAAAGGGAAAATTTGAATCTAAAATTTTTTAAAGCCACTAATTTTTAAGAACAAATGTTCCTTTTTATAGATTTTTAAACGCCCCATGAGGTAGTAAAGTAGTAATAAATAAAATGTTGTGAACATTTAAAGAGATTTTTCTTACAAGGCGTCGTACATACCACCCTCATAAAATACTACGGTTTACAAGAAATTACGATATTATTTCATATACCACCCTTAAAGAAATAAAAAATAAATGGTATAACTACAAAAATCAATCAAAATCAAATGGAAGAAGTGTCGCCCGATCACTTTTCAGTGTCCATTTTAAAAGACCTAGAGTATTTAGAATATTTATGTTTTGTTGTCAATGGTAGTAATAAATAATGAATTTAAAAAAAGAATAATAATGAAAAAGAGGGTAGATAGGATAGTGGGAACTAAGAAGGTTTATCTATTTATCTACATTTATCTATAATTTCGCATTTTGTCTCTTATACATATTTGCCGGCATATGCGCTTTAAACTGAAAATGTACAAAAATACAACTTCATATGTTTAAAACTTATTCTTTAAAAAGTCGTACGTAACTTTTTACAAATTACTTTATTTATTACCCTTACTACCTCACAGATTTATCAAAATGTTTCAAAACTTTTTTATTTTTTTTGATTGAATTTCAAATTCCCCTTTCCGCTTACAATTTTTAAAATAAATTTACATTACTTAAATTTTTTCCATAAAGGAATTGAGTCTTTGCCACAAACTTAAATTTTCTAATCCCTATATTTATGGAACCTGATGTTGTAGACTTTTGATATTTCAAACTAAGATAATTTAATGCAACAGAATTCATAGATTGAAATATCTAAGGTCTACGACATTCGGTTGCAGATATATAGGAATTAGAAAATCAGAGTTTGTGTCAAAGACTCAATTCCTTTGTTATAACAATGTGTATAATATTTTTTACATTTTCTTTGTTTCCTCATTTCTACATCACTGCAGCCAATTGTTCTCCTCATTCAGTTCTAAAGTTTTTAGGATTTTAATGTGGAGGACATAGGACACTTCCATACCAGGCAGGTTCATACTTAAATATTTAAATCAGATATTCCTGATAATTCCTGAAAATTGTCAGTGCTAATTTGGTATCCATTAAAAAATCTACTAACAAAAAAGTTGTTTAACACAAAATAATCACTTGATCTTTTTATTTATTCTTAAATGTTAATGTAAGAAACATGCATTAACCGATTGAGCCAAAAGTAAGTAAGTAAGTCTTTGCCACAAACTCAATGTTTTATCCCCTATATCTTTGGAACCTGGTGGTGTAGTAAACCTTTTATATATTCAAACTTAGATTATTTGATCCAACAGAATTCATAGTTAGAATTCTTAGATCTGATTGGTGGGGTTTCTAAAGAGATTATAAATAAGGGTTTGTTGCGGGACATCAAGGCCAAGACAGATTTAGAAGGCAGAATGGATTTTTTTTAATTCTTTAAAAAAAATTTTAGAAATTCATTTGTTTTATTGTTTTATGGTGTGCAAAGAAGACAAGCTTGCAGAGACTAAACTTTGTGTACAGGACATCGCTTAGCTATATTGGCTAAACTTTGTATTTAAAGTGGCTAGTTTAATTCCTACTCCTAGGATAAGATCCTTAAAATTAATACGTCAATACTATTTACAGACTGTTTGACAATAAAAGCACTTTTTTGGCCCTCATTCAGTTTAAAGATTATATTTAAATGCACTTAGATGCAGGCCGTCAAATCTCAAGCAACTGTGATGTAAGATTCTAACACAAAGCATGATTTTACTTAAAATATTTTTTTTTAAATTTTTTCCATCGAATTATTTCTGTGTGTGTTTCATTTCCGATCTAATGATTGATTTGAAATGGCAAACTTTTGTAAAATGATGCATAGTTAAAGATTTTATGAAGAAATTTTAAAACTTCTCCAATCATGCTCCTCGTCAAAAGAGAAAATCCAAATCAGGATGAGCCTGTGGCTCATATATTTCTAGAGGATAGTATTCAATATTTATTCACCAATTTCGACATTTTAAGTCATTACTTTCACTTTTGACATTATAACAGAATTTAGTAACTTTATCTTTTTCAGGAGATTTGTGCTCTTTAATTCAAGGATAAATCAAACGCAATAAAATCATGTCATCTTCCGATCTAAGAGACAAACTTGACGGGCTTGGATCTACTGGAAAAATGGCTGCAATATACCCTGAACCCCTATCCAGACACAATAGATGTATGGCACAGTTATCGGTTAGTATTCTTTTCCCCACCATAGTTTAGTATTTAAACATATTTATCTGCCCTTCTTCTTAACATGCGAGAATTTAACAAATCATTAGAAAAAAATCTAATTTTTGCAAATTTTACAGGAAACGATTTGGGGAAATTTTTTTATTAAAAAAAAAACACTGATTCATTCTTGATCCGTTGGCACCGTTGAGATTTTCAAATGGAGAATAATTTGAAAATCTAAGGTTTTTTTAGTTGGAAAAAAATTATATATTTTAAATAGAGAAAATATTTTTGGTAAACAAAAAAGGTTTAATTTTTAGTTTAAAATTTTTTGTAATTTTAGTTTAAAAAAGTTATATTTTTGGTCAAAAGTGTTTAATTTGGTTACATCATTCGTGTAATATTTTACCCTACCCAGCCGGCTATTCAATGAAATAAAAAAATATTTTAGAGCAATGTAATAGAATGCAATCCACACATGTATAAGAGGACTGTTAAAAAGAAAATGAACAGAAATGGAAGATTCCGAACTCAACCTGTAACATTTATGGAAATAAAGGTATTGATTTATTTATCACATGTACAAGCTGAGATCAAAAAAACATTCCATAATCATTTTAAAAGAAAACTGAGTAAATTGTCGTAATCAGAAATTATCTCAACATTAATATTAATTGAATATACATTTTTGTTCGGCTTTAAGAGATTTTAAGATTGCAAAAATCACGATACACGTACACAGGGAGAGGGAGACAATGGGGTCTTTTTTCTGCAGTTATACCCCAAATATATAGATGGGCGGATTATTGGTAACTAATAATTTGGTATATACATTTTGGTAACTGACAATTGGGTAACTAATAATTTGGTAACTTGACAATTTGGTAACTAACAATTTGGTCAATTTGGTAACTCATAATGTTGTAATTTTACAATTTGTTAACTAACAATTTGGTAACTTGACAATTTGGTAACTAGACAATTTGGTGACCGACAGTTTGGTAACCAACAATTTTGGTACTAACAATTTGGTAACTTACAGTTTGGTAACCCGACAATTTAGTAACCTGACAATTGGGTAAATAACAATTTGGTAACCTGACAATTTGGTTTAAAATAAAATTCTAAAATGAAATAAGCATGACTATTTAAAGATTTATGATTAACCAGGTTTATTGAACTTTCATATATCATTTACTTCTTTTACATATAATTACATTTAAACTACATGCTTATGAGGAAACTGAATTGATAGACAATATGTGGGGTTAGATTAGGTTAAGACAATATATGGGCCAAGAGCTGTTGTTAGGGTGGGCTAGGGGCCGAGCGTTGCGGTCAGAAAAGGAAAACGAAGACGACGTTTGTTTAAAAATACAATAATCCACAGAAAAAATAAGAAACCAAGACGACATTTGTTTAAAAATACAGTGGTGTGCAGAAAAAGTTAAAAACAACGACGATAATATTGGACAAATTATGATTTTAGAGTACATTTATACATTTACATTATACATTATACATTTATTGCTAAAAATGAAGCATGTTCAATTACAATCAAACTTGTTTGCATTCAACTCCGTGGCAATAAAACTCAATTGCAGTCAGTAACAATAGCAATCAAACCTATAACAATAAAATTAATTGTCATGTCATGTAACTTGTTATCCTCATTCCTAAGTCAGGAAGGATACACCCGTCAGGCCAGCTTTTTTCTTTCCAAAATTAAAACTTATTATTATTGGGACAGTTGTGCACCTGTTTGACATGTTTGACTTGCAACAGTTCCCTTTTATTTTGAGTAACAAAAAGGATGATATTGTGGAGACACTAGAATATTGTCTTCACATTCCTGAAGCTCTGAGACCCAAACCAAATAAATTGCAATGAATTGCAGTGCAAAGAATATTTCTTGTTAGCGTTACGTTTTTTTCTTAACTTTTCCAATATAAACTATTTTAATTACGTTTAGAAATTTTACAAAAATGCAACTTTTCTTACGTTATGATTTATCGAAACGTTATTGTGAAAACTTTTTTGTTACACCTTTTTACAACTGACAACAACTGTTTATTCAATTCGTTTCTAAGAAAGATTTGAAAAAATGTTCTATACGTTGCGTTGTATTAAAATCATCAGGCCTTAACGATTCTTACGTTACACTTTATTAAAAATAATATTGTTTCTAAACGAAAGCATTACAAAATATTTTCCGTGATAATTACATTCCTACTTTAGTATTTTTCATCCTAAAACATGAACCATGCCAAAAATTGTGTTGTTAATCTCTTTTATACTCACCGTGTATGTTGCTGATGTATTGTTTACCTTTTCAGAGAATGTGTAGAAGAATATATGCAATATAAAGATGTTATAATATTATATTTTTTAACGGTTTTTAAAATTTGTGAATGAAAGTTTTTAGTATTTTACTTTCAACTCAAGGGTGTGTCTTAAAGGGACTAGAGACGTAATTTCAAGTGACCCTCCATTTATGGAGTGGCTTGTCATGTCAGAATTCATAGTTTGAAATATCTAAGGTCTACAACATTGGGTAGCAAAGATATAGGGACTGAAAAATAACAACTTAATTCCTATTTCTTTTAGAAAAGAAGTCATAGTTTAAAATATCAAAAGTCTACATACAACACGTCAGCTTGCAAAGATATAGAGATTAGAAAATTATAATCTCTTGCGAATGTTTAGTTCTTCTTGTATTTTTTTATTTGTTTCTTAAAAAGTGAGTAAAAAAGCGGCATTAGCTTTAGTTTACTAAACAAAATAAAAATATTTTCAGGGTTCATGTTTAGGATTAAAAAATATTTAATAAAATAAGACAACTGCTTTATAAATTTGTTTTCTTTTTTTAACAAATCGATAAAAAAACAGTTTTTAATATCTATTCTAAAGTTTCCTAAAAAATTATTGATGAATAAAACATATTACGCGTTTTCCAATTGCTAAAATATTTTTGCATTTTAGTAAGTATCATACATTTCTAAATTTTTCAACCTAAAACATGAACCATGTCAACTAAAGTTATGATTTCAATTAGTCAAATAAACATGAAACACACACAGCAATTGTGTTGTGTTTAAAAACCCGTTCCACTTAATAAGTAGATTTTTTTGCTATTAGTAAATCATTTGATTAGTATAACAGAAAAAGCAAATGTAAAATTTTGTCTTCCTTTTCCAGAGTTTAAGTGGTTTTCATTAAACAATGGCAAATCAAAAACTTTTAATGTCCAAGAAACATTTACAAGATTTGAATTTTCACTAATAGCATGTTACAAAAAAAACTCGTTTACACTTTAGAAAGGAACTAAGTTTTTTTTTTCAAATATACTAATCCCTATATCTTTCCAACCTGATGGTTTAAACCTTTTATATTTCAATATTAATCTCTAATAGCAGAACATCCTTCGCCCTCCTTTTTATATCACTTACAAACGAAGAGAATCCTGCAGCATTACGCCTCCCCTCGATGTTCGCAGAAACTAGTACCCTGCCATTTTGATGAGAGATTGTGAAGTTTACAAACAGTTTTCGCGGATTTGCATGCTAAACTTTTGAGAAATGCTGCATATTGTTTTTTCTCTCTATGTATTCAACAAATAAATATTTAAACAAATTTTCGGTTACCAAATTGTCAGGTTACCAAATTGTCAAGTTACTAAATTGTTGGTTACCAAATTGTCAAGTTACTAAATTGTTGGTTACCAAATTGTTGGTTACCAAATTGTTAGTTACCAAATTGTCGGTTAACCAAATTGTTAGTTACCAAAATAATAATTACCAAATTGTTATTTACCAAAATGTTAGTTACCAAATTATTAGTCACCAATAATCCATCCATTAATATAAAATGTATTTTTTCTGATATCTTAAAATTTTTATTTTGTGAAAGGGTTTAGTTAAACATCGGAAGAGAAGAAAGCTCTAAATATTTTAACAATTAACACCATTTTTTTAGAATAAAGAAATTTGAATTCAAAATATTATTAGGAAGTAGACGAGGATAAAGGAGAAGATTTAGGCTATTCTGATATTTCTGATGGTGAAAAATCAAGGTTGGCAAATTCTTTTAAATCATTTTTAACTTAATTTGCTTCTGTATACACACACTTCATAAAGGCAATTAAAAACCACTTTCTGTACATTTTTACGTAAAAAACATTATTTTTTTTGCGTTGCCTGCAGCTAATTAAAACTTTAAACTTTAGTTAGGATATATGTCATATGATCTGTACCGTGTGGTACTCGAAGAGTAATGTTTTTGTCCTCCGAGAAAACTATTTTTTAAAACAAGCTATTTAAAGCTGAAAGGAACTGAGTTTTTGCCACAAATTATGATTTTACAATCGCCATATCTTTTCCACCTGATGGTGTAAACCTTTGATATTTCAAACTATTATTGTTTGGTCTAAAATGATTCATAGTTTGAAATATCTAAGGTCTCTGACATTCAAATGCAAAGATATAGGGATAAGAAAATCAGAGTTTGTGACAAAAACTCAATTCCTTTCTCAGAAGAAAAAAGAGAATAAAAATTATTTACAAAATTCCAGAAAACAATTGTTTTTTATTTGACTTAACCTTAACCTAAACTAATTGATAAATTAAAATAAATCTTTAAATTCATATTTTATGCATATTTAATGCGGCGAAAAATATTTCAAAAAAAGTGTTTTAAAATGGCCAATAAAGACCTGTAAGGTTGTAGGCTGTGAAGTGATAAAAAGATAAAAAATATTGCTTTTCCCGTATTGATATGTCTCCAAATGGTATCCTGAAATTTTAGGAAAAATTGGAAACATTTGGCATTGAATGACTCATAAATGAAAGTTTTTGAGTCTCTATTGTAAAAATATTGTTCAGGTCCGAGATGGATTTAAAAAGTAGATTTGAAGACATATCAAGAAATATGCTGAATAAAAGAAACAGCATAGGATCAAGGTATTTCTTATCATATTCTTAAAAATATCTGAATTTTCATACAAAGGAATTAAGTCTTTGACACAATCTCTAAATTTCTAGTCCTTATATCTTTGCAACCAAATGTCGTTGATTTTTGATATTTCAAACTACGAATTATGATAGATTAAATAGTCTAAATTTGAAATATCAAAGGTTTGCACAATCAGTTTGCAAAGTTTTAGGGATTTTAAAATTTGAGATTTTAGCAAACACTCAATTCCTTTACACTAAAATGCGAACATGAACAAAATTATTAAAATCAGTGGACTAATCAATAATTTTGAAAATGTTAGAACATTAATGATTTATTCAGTGCACTAATGAACATTTTTTCAGCCATATTTTATGAATAGCGGTATTGATTTGCGCAATGATTTATTCCGAATCATTTGTTCTTTGTCTCTCTAATATGGCAATAAAAAGTTTTGTATCAACATATCCTGAAAGCAAGAATTTTTACATTTTTAGCTAATCTTGAGAATCAATTTTAGAATTAAATCTAAAAATTCTAAATCTATTTAGAAAAAAACTGGATATCCTGGAGGCCCCAAGCGAAATAGCTATGTCCAATGATGAATTTAAAGAGAAAGAGGCAGGAGATTGCGTAGAAGATGATTTCAGTCTCAAGTTACAAGTGAATTATCCCCGTGGCTTTAATTTCAAATCTAGACCGTCTTTCTAATTCATTAATAAACCTTTCCGCAACAAACTTTAACATCATGAACATCTATTAAAGCTAAAAATCATTTAGCTGTTAAAAAATAAATGTCGAAAAATTGTATCTTTTCTTTTCTTGCATTAAAATACAACATCGTTTGGAACCAAATACGTACATTGTGAAAATTATATTTTCGGACAAGTTAATAATGTATTTATAAGTTAAATATTAAATAATAATTTGCGGATTGTATCAAGACAACATTGAACGTTGTCTCCCTTCATATCGTAGCCAGGACTTCATCTCTACCAAAAAATTAAACCAGAATATTAGAGGTTTCATATCAATTTCAAAAAAAATAATTCCTATCACGCCTTAGCCACTTCAAAAACCCCTGAAGTCTCCAGTGCCATGGTTAAATTAAATAAATAGTTTAAGTTTTTGCAATGTTTAAAAACCAGGTTACACACAAAACAAAATTGTATTAAATTTGAACTCATAGAAAAGGGGGGAGAACAAAAAGGTTTTTGAGAAAGTATAGATTTAGTTTTAAAAACTCAGTTAATCACAGATGTCAGTAAAAATACCCTCTTATGTCTCTAAGATTAATATATGTAGACTCCCATGATTAACTAGCTAAGGAGCATTCTTTGCTTTTAGCATGAACAGAGCTGAAAACTTTAGAATGGTGGATATCGAGATTAATGCGTGATTCTCTCTTTTTTATAATATGGAGACTAATCTAATCCTGTACTTGTATCCTGAAAAGTGTATAAAATTCAACCAATCAGAGTCGCGTATATGAAGCCGATAAATTTTAAATTTTGCGCGCCATTTAAGATTATAAACAGAAATGGGAGGAACTCTCTAATTTAGAAAGACCGGTTTTTGATTTTTCTCTACTATTTCCAAGAAAGAACGGTTTAAGAAGAAAATCAAAAGTTTTTCATTTGATACTCAGATTAAGTAATCGGGATTAAGGATATCTCATTCTAAAGTTTTCAGCTTTGGACAACTTGAAGGCGGATAATAATTCATTTATATTCATGTATACCTAACGAAAAATAAATGTCAATACTTTCTGTTCACATTTTCTAACAAATTTTTAAGTGATCAAGAATAAATAGGATCTTACTTATTAAACAAGAAAATAATCACTCAGTTTTTATATCAAAACGATTGCACAAATTAATGGATTAAAGTTTAAAACTGAACCAGGAAATAAAGTGCAGAAGAGAGAGCAGAAGTGATGAATAGAAAGAGAACGTCCTTTTGACTTTTCTTTCATATTTCCGGTGNGAGAGCAGAAGTGATGAAAGGAAAGAGAACGTCCTTTTGACTTTTCTTTCATATTTCCAGTGATACATCTAAATCAATCAATCAATATCAATCAATATTTTTAGTGTGATATCTTCAGAATCCAAGCTACAAAATATAACTTTCCCAATGCCGAATTGTTAGTATACTTTATGGTGGACTCTCAAAATAATAACATGAATAACCTGGAACTGCTATCTCTCCTGGGTGAAATAGACAGAATATGTAATGCAGACATAAATAAAATCATAAAATAAAAAAGTAGAAAAAGAGAAGAGTCTTAGAAAAAACATTACTGTGAAATTAGAAAACGTCCAGATCCCTAGATCGGGTAATGCTCGGTTTTATAAGAAGACATAAAACAAGCATAAAGCCCACTTTCTATACGGCAAAAAACGAGCAAAAGGCCTTTTGCTTGCTTTTTGTAAGGCAGAAAACAAGCAAAAGTCCTTTTGCTCGCTTTTTATAAGGCAGAAAACGAGCAAAAAGCCTTTTGCTCGCTTTTTAAAAGACAGAAAACGAGCAAAACGCCTTTTGCTTGCTTTTTAAAAGACAGAAAACGAGCAAAAAACCTTTTGCTCGTTTTTAAGGGCGAGCAAGTGTTAGAGTTCCCCAACTGTTATTCTTCAGGCTTCAATTTCTAACCTTCATTCAACATTTTTAATATTTCTATCCTTTATTCTTTATCCTTCATAGTGATAACCTTCATTCCACATCCTTCATTAAGCAAGCATTCATTCTATATTTTTATAGTTCTAACCTTTATTCTACCTTCTTCATATTTCTACTTATTATTCTACATCCACTAAAGTTCAATTTGCCTTTGATTTTAAATCGCAAGTATTTTTTGTAACACTGTACGTTTAAAAATCTATAAAGCTCTTGTTTTCAGATGTAGATTAAGAAATAATTGTAAAATTCTTAATATTATTAAATGAGATGAGTTTATTTTATAATATGAAATCCTAATTTTATACTAACTATTTAGAAATATCCGCTGAAGATGTTTGAGAGATGTTCTGCAACCAATGTTGTATCTTATGAAACACTTTTCAAAAATATTGATGGTCTCTCCTCTCAAATCCAAATTTTGATTTTGCAAACCTAATTGGCATATTGTGTTTTCTCTTTTTAAACATTTTTAAAAATTAAGACCAGGTGAATTAAAAGTCAGAAACAATTTGATTTATTTCAAATCTGTTTTAGACCCATGGATCAAAAACTTCTTTGTCCCAAACTTGAATCTGAAAATACATATTAATTAATGGAATTATTGAAAGGATTATATGAGCATTTATTCTTAGCAGCAAAATTGACTTTTTTATAAAACATGTTTACAATATTTTTGTCGTCAGTCATCTGTAGTGGGATATGCAGCATCTTCAATATTTAAAATATGTTTTATTTTTATTATTTTAGTTTATGACATTTTAAGGCTCACCACGGCAAAAAGTAAAAATGATGAATTGTCGAGAATTGTACAAAACATTCAAAGGGATGATTAAACTTTCATATTTTTGAAATAGGACTTCTTGATGTATTCTAATTATTAAAAATTTATAATTCATTCTATATTTTTATAAGTCTAGCCTTCATTCTACATGATTCATATTTCTAGTCTTTATTCTACATCCACTAAAGTTCAATTTGACTTAGATTTTAAATCTCTAGTATTTTTTGTAACTCTTCATCTATACCCTCGATCTATTATTTATAGAATGGACAATTAACATTATAAAAAGGACTATATGAGCATTTATTCTTAGCAATGAAATTGACTTTTTCATAAAACATGTTTACAATATTTTAGTTGTCAGTCATCTGTGGTGGAATATGCAGAATCTTCAATATTTAAAATATGTTTTATCTTTTTTTTAGTTTATAACATTTGTAATGCTCTCCCCATCGGCAGCAATTAAAAATGTTCAATTGTCAAGAATTGTACAAGCAATTTAAAGGGAAGATTAAACTTTTATATTTTTGAAATTTGCAAAGGACTTTTTGATGTATTCTAATTATTAAAAACAAATAATTCATTCTTTATTTTTATAAGTCTAACCGTAATTCTACATGATACATATTTCTACTATGAATAAATTCTACATAAATTAAGAGTTACAAAAAATATTAGGGATTTAAAATCTAAGTCAAATTGAACTTTGGTGGATGTAGAATAAAGACTAGAAATATGAAGCATGTAGAATGAAGGTATATATAGAATGAATTATTTATTTTATGCCCCTGGAAAGAAAGAAATATGAATTCAAATGTTAACAATATCGAAATAAATAAATACACAAAAATGGTACCTCAATTATATAATATATCTAATATAAAGTTTAAACTTTTAAAAAGTGAATATTAAAGAAAATCTCAAATATTAATACTGGAAGATGATAATTCAAAAGAATGTGGGAATTTCATAGCAAAAAAATTCGCAAAATGATAAATTCAAATAAGCAAGTTAGTCTTGAACCATCCTTCTATCTGTAAAGAACCTATCAATTAGTAATATTTAAAATGGAGATTCATGACGATACTACTACTGTTGAAGGGATAAAGGCAAGAGTAGACCTGCCTATACACTAGAGCATGGACTAAATTTAGACTGTTCCAGGAAAACACGGAAGATTTCTGGAAAAGACAGAATGCTGCAGAGCAGAGCAATGAAAGAATAAATTGTTGTCGCCGCCAAGTAGAATTTCTACTTGGCCTGTATGCTGTGAGGTTGAGGTCCCCGTGAACGACCTCCACTTGTGAGGAATTGAAAGTGAAAATCCAGAACCGTTGTTGAGGTCGTCCTCTATCATCGCTAGCCTTAGGGTTTTCCCGAGTAGCTTCAGTTTGACCTCAGTGGTGAGGATAACTCTTGCTTTCCCCGAGTAGGTCAGCACCTTCATCTTGTACGAGGGTCCCAGGGAGTACATGTATTGAGGTATAGTTGAAAGAGCCGACCTGGAGATGAGGCTGAGTTGACAGCCAGTGTCATACTGTATTCCTATCTTCGTCCCGCCCAGGTTCAAGGTTTCGACCAAGGGAACAGACTGGTTGGCGCTGACCTTGGGGATCGTGACAAAGTGGGCCTGGTTGCTGTGCATGCAAGCCCTCCTGTTCACAGGGACTCCATGTTGCAAGCATCCCTTGGTACACACCCTAGAGGTTCCGTTCGTGAGAGTGAGCTTGCACTTATAACTATTGCCGTGGGCCTGAGTGCAGGTGAAACAGAGGTTATTGTTGGAGATCAACTTGAAGATCTCAGGTGAGCTCAATTTACCAGATCCACAGTGTTTGCTGAGGGAAAAGTGGTTGGCTTCAAACCCCATTATTGTACACATGGCGCAGGGTTTAGGAGGACGGAATCTCTGTGGGTCAGAAGAATTCAGAGGCCGAGGTTTAGGTTTAGAGGTTCCCTGTCTGACCACTTTGACTCCTATGTTTGAGAGAGCAAGGTCGAGGTCANGGGGGGGAGGGGGGAATGGTCAATTATTATATAGTGCTGTGTATTTTGAAGCTTAGTTAGACCGGCGTCATACAAGGTGATGATGGTGGGGGTTGGAAAGCGACAAAATAAATCTTAAACATTATTTCAATTTTCAGTACTCAAACCTGTCTGTGGTTTATTTATCGCAACCAGCATCATGATATTAAAGAGTTTCTAAATTGGCTAAATCGTCAAGCCGGTTGCCTTCTCTGCTCACATGTCTACAAACAGTTCTTGGGCTAGTTTTTGCAACACACTCTTGGACAGTTTTGTTTTTGTGATTTTTGCCCTCCTTGGTCATGGAATCTTCCTATCATGGTCTCAGTAAAAATTTCAAAAAGAAAATAATATTTTTTAACGTCCCAGTATTAGTATAAGCACAAACCAGATTTCTAAATTAAATTAATTATACATTTTTGTCTATGATTTGATTAGATATATATTTGCGAGCACAATGTCAAGTTTTTTATGAATAAATATGTATATTAAGATAATTTTTTTTTTTTAATTCATACATATATAGTTGGGTAGCTTAAATATTTGTTAAGAATAGAATAGCTATTATGAACATATAAACATGCAAATAAGAAAGATTTTTTTACTAGCGCGTTTTTTGAGTGTACTATATAGTGAGTGTATAGCGTTTCATGAGTATAGAGCTTTTTAGGTACACCATTTTCAGATACACAAAATGGTTATTTTACGAGACAGAATTAAGATGAAGGTAATTTTGTTGAGTTTTGCATTAATTTGTTAAATCTTGATCTTCAACCACAAAAATAAATTGTGCACGCAATTTTTTACAAGTGTGGGTAATGAAATTGAAGAATCAAACTGGTGGGACTAGTTTTTATTTCACCACGTATGAGATAACAAAATTAACCTGAGCAGAGCTGAAAACTTTAGAGAAGGGTTAGCCTTAATCCTGGTCTGTTAACTAATCTGGAGATTAATAACAAGGGGAGAACAAGCCATATTTAATCTGAGGATTAAGAAAAAGAGAAGATCGAGCATTGATCTCGATATCCACTAAAGTTTTCAGCTCTGAAAACTTCAGAATGGTATTTCCTTAATCCCGATCTGTAAATTAATATAGAGATTAATAACAAGGGGAGAACACGCCATATTTAATCTGGAAATTAATAAAAAGAGGAGATCGAGCTATGATCTTGATATCCACCATTCTAAAGTTTTCAGCTCTGAGCTGTGAACTTTAGAATGGTGGATATCAAGATTAATGCTTAATTCTCTGTTTTTGCTAATCTCGAGACTAACATAATCTCGAGGTTATGTTAGTCTTGAGATTAAATATCTAGATCAACACATTGGATTCTATAAGACTGCCAGATTGGTTCGTTTTCATGACTGTAAGGGCCTTTCATTAATTTCTCAATCTTTTATTTATTAGTTACATTAGTTAAAATGCAATATACAAAATGGCCGAAAATAAATTCTTGATTTGTTAGAAATTGCGGATTTTTCTCATGGGATAGAATCTATTATTAAGGCTGGCATTGGTCAATGCAATTTACGAACTATATTCCTGCACTCTCATTGGAGAAAATAATGTACGGATATCCAAAGAGAGAGAAAAAGAGTGTATTAAGGACTAAAATTAAAAGTTTCCACAGTGGATATTCGGATTAAGTAGTTGGGATTAAAGGTTATCCATTCTAAAGTTCCCAGCTCTGGTTACATACTAGAAATTTTTTATTTTCAATAAGAGTAGTAATGATTGAACACAATATTGTATGAAATCTTGCGAGCAAAATACTTAAGTTTGACGTAGGGTTTCCAGCGGAATGGATAACTCGTTTCGACCAAATTCCTAAATTTGTGCGGAATTTTCCGTTAATCTGTTTTGTGTAAAACTACGGAATAAGTTTGACACAAATTAAGAGAAAAAAGGCGCAAATATTGCACGACTCTAGTTGGACAAAACTGTTGGGACAATAATGTGGGGTTTGAATAAATTTAAAGAATTTGAGTCGGAACGAAGAGAAATAGTGTGGTCATTAGAGATATGAAAAGTATTATTTATATTGCAGGTCTTCGGAGGAACACTTGTCATTGTAGGACTAGTGCTTTATACTAATTTAGCATTAAAAAGTAAGTAACAATTTTTTTCAAAATAATCCAAACTTAAATATGCTTTAATTTAATAGTAACCTAACAGAAACTATTTAGTAGGAAAAAATTACTTAATCAATTGACCATTAGGCGTTGTATCTAAGAACAACAAATTTAGTCTCTATCAATAAAGTACCAAAGTGAAGGAGATTGAGCAGTGCGCTTGAAAGGTGTCTTTAAGTTCGGAAGAAAAACCTGTTTTGGGATTTTATAGAAAGACATTTCATTCAGGATGGGTTTTTAAACGATGTAATTTATGATTGATAATAGAAGAGAATCTCAGAGACACCTATTGGAGAAAAACGGAACTTGAAAATTTTGTGATGAAGTCGTGAGAATTTCTCAGGAATTTCCGGAGAAATGTTCCTGAGAAATTCCTAGGAATTTCTTGAGAAAAATTCCAGAGAAATTCTCAGAAATTTCTAGAAACTTATTCTCTTATTTAATTCCCCTAAAAATTCGTAAACTTTGTGATCAAGTCCTAAGAATTTCCCAGGACTTTCCGGAGAAGCATTCAGGAGAATTTCTCAGGAATTTCTTGAGGTGAAATTCTAGAGAAATTCCCAGGAATTTCTCGAAACTAATTCTCTTTTTAATTCCCCTAAAAATCTGTAAACTTGGTGACCAAGTACTAAGAATTTCTCAGGAATTTCCGGAGAAGTAACCAGGAGAAATTCTCAGGATTTTCTGGGGGTGAAATTCCGGAGAAATTCCCAGGAGTTTCATGAAACTAAGTTCCCCTAAAAATCTGTAAACATGGTGAGGGTGACTAAGTCCTAAAATTTCTCAGGAATTTCCAGATAAAAATCTGTAAACTTGGTGACCAAGTACTAAGAATTTCTCAGGAATTTCCGGAGAAGTAATCAGGAGAAATTCTCAGGATTTTCTGGGGTGAAAATCCGGAGAAATTCCCAGGAATTTCATGAAACTAAGTTCCCCTAAAAATCTGTAAACATGGTGAGGGTGACTAAGTCCTAAAATTCCTCAGGAATTTCCAGGGAATTATTCTGGAGAAATTCTGAGAAATTTCGTGGGGAAAAATTCTGAAGAATTTCTCAGGATATTCTCGAACTGAGTCTCAAAACTGTGATCCCACAAAAATCTCTCATCTTGGGGACCAATTCTGGAAAATTTCTCGAGAATTTCCTAGGAATCAGTTACAGGAAATGATTCTCGAGAAATTCCTCGGAAATTTCTCAAAGGAAGTCACCACGGCTGGAGAATCTGGGGAAATTCCTCACTGTTGTTACTTGGATAACTTCTGGAGCATAAATTGTCTGCTACTCTGATATGGGCGAGAGGGTTTTTTAACGCGGCACCCTCATTTTTCAACCGATCTGGCTGTAATTTTCAGAGAACCCTCTCTACAGTATATGCATAATAAAGATGGAAACGTTTAACAACAAATTGCAAATTTTTGATTTATAAACCAATCCAGATATCTAATTTAAAGGGAGTGTTTGCAAAACATGAAAAGGGGTATAGGATTACGGGGAAAAGTATTAAATTGTGATCACATACTAATCTTACTTCTATCTGTTGCGTCTATAAGGAGAAAATGGTTAAACACAAAACATATATAAATAATTCAATTCAATTCAAAACAAATCATGCAGATATTACAACTTATAATAATAAAAAAATGTTCGACCCTTTATTATATAGTTAATACTTCGACTCCGTATACGGATATAAGACAGAGATATCACTGGCTGAATCGCAATTATGTTTAATGGCATCATTTGACATAACTTTTTTTCAAGACGTTTCTCAATGTTTTTTTTTACATTTTTTACGTTTTTTATTTTTTTTGGTTTAAGATCAAATTTCATCAATACAATTTTTTTCTTGGTAGTATTTTATGCTTCTAGTGAACTATATGAAATGGAAAAAATGGCAAATTAAAACTTTAAAAGACTTAATTTTTGATGGCATCATATGATGTTATTTTGATGTAATTTTTTCTCTATCAAAATTGTATTTTAACAACGTTAAATAACGTTAATTTAAAATCAAATTAAAAAAAGTATTCATTAATAATTTACACTGCAAACACTTATAAACTCTTCTATTTTTATTTCCCTCTCTTCAAACTCGCCACTTTTCATCAAAAGTGTATACGAAGTATATAATTTTGATATTATAATGTTTTTTCTAAAATTGCTTTGACCACTTATAAGTTATACTTTTAAATGAATTCATTAATTTTGTTGATTAAATTCAGATTTTTTGAATTTGTAACTCTCTACTTTATGTAGATAATAGATAGATGGATAATTGCAAGGTTGTAATGCATGGAAAGTTTATTGCTGTCGCGTATACTCTGCGTACATATTGAAACCAGTTCTCCCTGGGTGGAATTTGTAAAAAAGAATAGATGCATCAGTGTTCGTTTAGTATCCGAGGAGGTTAAAAGCATTAAATTTTGATAATTTTGATAATTTTGATAATTCACATAATAGTTTCCTATGACCAGAATATGTCATTGATTTTTTTTATGTGAAAGATGGATCCCATGTCAGGCTTCGACATCCGTCTTGTGTTTACATTAGCGCCCAGAGACTGTACTGCAGTACAAAAGATTTGTACACTTCTGAAATAACTTTCCTTGCATTACATCCTTGGATAATTGAATAAGTTTCACCATAGGTTATTTGGAGTCAGGCGCAACTATAGTCTAACCATCAACATAATGCACATAATACTCATGATACTTTCCAAGATACTCATTATTATACTTTTTATACTGTCAATGCCGTTTATTCCTTAGTAGCGCTGAGACAAAATTCTCGAAATAGACTTTATCAGTCTCTAGATGAATTCTAATAAATTCCAATGATTATTAAATAGCTCTTCTGCTCTCAGACGTTGAGATTTTTAAAATTTTATTTAGTGTTTATTAGATCTATGCAATTTAAAAAAGAAGTGTGAACAAGAACAGTCTTTGGCGGGGTTCGAACAGGGTTCTGCGGGGTTTGAACATGATTCCGCAGGGTTCGAACAGGGTTCTGCTAACTATATCTGGGTTCGAACAGGATATTGCAGGGTTCATATCCCTAGTTATGCACTTGGTGTGTTTCTGATCTCCGCTTTAATAAACCACATTTTTTTTCTAGTTTTTTGTGAATCAGAGCCACCTACAAGTTCAGTGCTGCCCTCTTTAAATCATATTCCACCACACAAGAAATCAGTGCTGCCCCCTATAAATGCAAAACTGTCGCTGAAAGATGAAAATGGTGTTAGTGAGCTGTCTACAAGTAATATCGAAATCAAAGGAATTGGAATTTTCAAATATTAATCATGAACTTTTCTTAATTTTGCTTGAAACTCAAACATGGATGTAACCTACATAAAATCTAGTCGAGGCAGGCCCGTAATTAGGATTTTAGAAGGGGGGGCAAATTCCTAGAAGTGCAACTGCAGCTNATTCAATTTCATTCAATTTCATTCAATTTCATTCAATTTCATTCAATTTCATTCAATTTCATTCAATTTCATTCAATTTCATTCAATTTCATTCAATTTCATTCAATTTCATTCAATTTCATTCAATTTCATTCAATTTCATTCAATTTCATTCAATTTCATTCAATTTCATTCAATTTCATTCAATTTCATTCAATTTCATTCAATTTCATTCAATTTCATTCAATTTCATTCAATTTCATTCAATTTCATTCAATTTCATTCAATTTCATTCAATTTCATTCAATTTCATTCAATTTCATTCAATTTCATTCAATTTCATTCAATTTCATTCAATTTCATTCAATTTCATTCAATTTCATTCAATTTCATTCAATTTCATTCAATTTCATTCAATTTCATTCAATTTCATTCAATTTCATTCAATTTCATTCAATTTCATTCAATTTCATTCAATTTCATTCAATTTCATTCAATTTCATTCAATTTCATTCAATTTCATTCAATTTCATTCAATTTCATTCAATTTCATTCAATTTCATTCAATTTCATTCAATTTCATTCAATTTCATTCAATTTCATTCAATTTCATTCAATTTCATTCAATTTCATTCAATTTCATTCAATTTCATTCAATTTCATTCAATTTCATTCAATTTCATTCAATTTCATTCAATTTCATTCAATTTCATTCAATTTCATTCAATTTCATTCAATTTCATTCAATTTCATTCAATTTCATTCAATTTCATTCAATTTCATTCAATTTCATTCAATTTCATTCAATTTCATTCAATTTCATTCAATTTCATTCAATTTCATTCAATTTCATTCAATTTCATTCAATTTCATTCAATTTCATTCAATTTCATTCAATTTCATTCAATTTCATTCAATTTCATTCAATTTCATTCAATTTCATTCAATTTCATTCAATTTCATTCAATTTCATTCAATTTCATTCAATTATCGTTTTTGATTGCGGCAGCTGCAAGATAAATTTTGGGAAGAAATTAGAGCATTATTTGATGTGTATAAAAGGGCTAGATGTTGATTCTGTTATATCTGGGTATATATATTATGAAGGTGATTATTTATTTCTGTTTGACGATTGACGTGACATAAAGATTGTTTCCATTAAAAAGTTTTTTTAATTATTCAGAAAAAATAACACGATTTTCTATCCGTGTATTTAAGGTTATTGGGAGAGAGATATGTTACAATTGATGCTAAAAATACTACAAGCTTATCCTAATGCTACATTGCTAGGTAAACATTGTAAAATTTAATTAAGTTTTGAATTAAATAATCAAGAATGTAATGCACGGAAAGTTAATTGCAGTAGCGTATACTCTGCGTACACATTGAAACCAGTTCTCTCTGGGCGGAATTTGTAAACAAGAATTGATGCATCAGTGTTCGTTTAGTATCCGAGGAGGTTAAAAGCAATGAATTTTGATAATTTTGATAATTCACATAATAGTGTCCTATGACCAGAATATTTCATTGATTATTTATCTGAAAGATGGATCCCATGTCAGGCTTCGACATCCGTCTTGTGTTTGCATTACCGATCAGTGACAGTACACTGCAGTACAAAAGATGCGTACACCTCTAAGATAACTTTCCTTGCATTAAATCCTTGTAAATAATAATCTTTTGATAATAAGCGTTTTTAAAAATGTTAAAACTCTAATATTTATGCAAGCAATTTTTTTACAAGGGTGGTTAATTGCAACCTTATGGCGATATTTCAAGCTTAGACTATTTGGTCTCGCTGAATTAACAATCTGAAATATCAAAAGTTTACGACGTTGGGTTGCAAAAATTAGATTGGTCTTAAATTAGGTTGTTATTGTGACAAATTTCTAAAAATATTTTTTTTATTTCGAGTTTTTTTTGTCATTGTAGATGTTGGATCAAATATTGGTATGTTCAGCGTCACTGCTGCTGCTGCAAACTACAGGTAAATGCAGAATATTTCTTAAATTATTTTTTTAATATTTATTTTGATAATTTTTTGTTTTGTTTAGTGTCGTGGCAGTGGATCCGTTCAAAACTAATCTAGCATACATCAGGAATTTGGGCAACATTCAACATTATCAAACAAAATTCAATTTAACTTATTTGGATTAAGGTTAAAATATTGTTATTTATTGCGTATTTTTGAATCATATAATTAAAATAACGTCGTACAGTCGCTGTAAAGGGATGTTCAATAAGTTTTGCGAAATTTTTATAAAGGTACATCCCTATAATTATAAGTATAAACGTCGCTTATTGTAGAAAGGATTTCTTAGGGTTTTATTGTTGTATCTGCGTTTCATCAAACAAATTAGTTTCTTTGCCCAGAACCTTTTTGGAGCAAATAATGTCCAAATCTTTGTCATTTTTCAAATCGTGCTTTACAACTTTGTATGGAGCACCAAACTCATCAAAAATCATTAACTCAGAAGTCTGGCAAAATTGGTTTGAGAAATCTTCAATTGTGTCGACTATTTGTGGGGAATTCGCGGTTTTATTCCTTGTGTTGCCAACATTCTNTTTCATTCAATTTCATTCAATTTCATTCAATTTCATTCAATTTCATTCAATTTCATTCAATTTCATTCAATTTCATTCAATTTCATTCAATTTCATTCAATTTCATTCAATTTCATTCAATTTCATTCAATTTCATTCAATTTCATTCAATTTCATTCAATTTCATTCAATTTCATTCAATTTCATTCAATTTCATTCAATTTCATTCAATTTCATTCAATTTCATTCAATTATCGTTTTTGATTGCGGCAGCTGCAAGATAAATTTTGGGAAGAAATTAGAGCATTATTTGATGTGTATAAAAGGGCTAGATGTTGATTCTGTTATATCTGGGTATATATATTATGAAGGTGATTATTTATTTCTGTTTGACGATTGACGTGACATAAAGATTGTTTCCATTAAAAAGTTTTTTTTAATTATTCAGAAACAATAACACGATTTTCTATCCGTGTAATTAAGGTTATTGGGAGAGAGATATGTTACAATTGATGCTAAAAATACTACAAGCTTATCCTAATGCTACATTGCTGGGTAAACATTGTAAAATTTAATTAATTTTTTAATTAAATAATAATCTTTTGATAATAAGGTCTTTAAAAATGTTAAAACTCTAATAGAATTAATTATACAGAGGTTAAAACTGTTTATTAAAATAGTAAAATCTTTTTTCTGGCTTTTTTTACTGAAAAAAAATGTTGATTATAGTTAGATTAGGTCTGCTATATATATGGTTATAAAGCAAAGTTATTAGAGATTTTAGAAAACTAAATAATCATCAAATATAATTATAAGGTAAACAAACATTCTCCTCAATTCAAACTTAAATTTTCTATTTTCTATAAAATTGCAACCTGGTAAACCAATGGCATTTCAAAGTGTTTTTTTAGATACTTAACCTAACAGATTTCATAGTTTGAAATATCAATGCTTTTATGACATTTATGCAAGCAATTTTTTAACAAGGGTGGTTAATTGCAACCTTATGGCGATATTTCAAGCTTAGACTATTTGGTCTCGCTGAATTAACAATCTGAAATATCAAAAGTTTACGACGTTGGGTTGCAAAAATAAAGATATTAGATTGGTCTTAAATTAGGTTGTTATTGTGACAAATTTCTAAAAATATTTTTTTTATTTTCGAGTTTTTTTGTCATTTTAGATGTTGGATCAAATATTGGTATGTTCAGCGTCACTGCTGCTGCTGCAAACTACAGGTAAATGCAGAATATTTCTTAAATTATTTTTTTAATATTTATTTTGATAATTTTTTGTTTTGTTTAGTGTCGTGGCAGTGGATCCGTTCAAAACTAATCTAGCATACATCAGGAATTTGGGCAACATTCAACATTATCAAACAAAATTCAATTTAACTTATTTGGATTAAGGTTAAAATATTGTTATTTATTGCGTATTTTTGAATCATATAATTAAAATAACGTCGTACAGTCGCTGTAAAGGGATGTTCAATAAGTTTTGCGAAATTTTTATAAAGGTACATCCCTATAATTATAAGTATAAACGTCGCTTATTGTAGAAAGGATTTCTTAGGGTTTTATTGTTGTATCTGCGTTTCATCAAACAAATTAGTTTCTTTGCCCAGAGCCTTTTTGGAGCAAATGTTGTCCAAATCTTTGTCATTTTTCAAATCGTGCTTTACAACTTTGTATGGAGCACCAAACTCATCAAAAATCATAAACTCAGAAGTCTGGCAAAATTGGTTTGAGAAATCTTCAATTGTGTCGACTATTTGTGGGGAATTCGCGGTTTTATTCCTTGTGTTGCCAACATTCTCACCTTGTACATATCATTTCTAATGCATTTTGTATCATTTTAAAGGTGTCTGCAATTTGTATTTGGAAAGTTTTAGAACAAATTTTTGTGTATTGAGCACCACAAGTGTTACTGTCCTGTCGAAACATTTTTAAAAATCCCGTGTAGTACAACCTGCAAGCAGGAAAAGGTGGATTAAGTAAAAAAAAAAGTCTGATTGTGGAAGACGATGCCTGGCCGCGTTAAACAAGTTCCACAAGATTCAACAGAATGAGATAGAACGGATACGGGGCATTGTACTGACGGACAGTCTAACACGTGTGATATTGATATAGACTCATGTTCTGAACCCTCTAGTAATAAGTTATAAGAAATATAGATACTGGAAGTACTTTATGCGTTTTTATTAGAGTCTGACTCACGTCCTCTATATGATAATAAATAAATGGGAGAAGACAACCAGGGGATATACAGTGAGCTTTGAAAAAAAATACAGAGCTGAGGCCTAAGACGTCTAGAAATTAAAAAATCGCAAAACTTAATGAACATACCTCGTACCAACAATGTTTTTGTCTTAATCTCTGTTTAATCCTGAGTTTGCTCTGTATACAAGACTAAGCACTGTACTGCACGGAAGCCAAGATAATGTACGGTACATACCTCATACAATCAGGTTCATTTTGTTCATTTAATCAAAAGATAAAGATTGTATTTAAGTTATAATTAAATATACAGAGTGATCCATATCATATTGGAATATCTTCAAGGCAACTTACTGAAGAACCATGCATTCTGTTTCACGTCAATCTAAAGTAAATTGCACGTAATACTGAAATATTAAGTGTTTTCATAACTCTTGTTATTAAAGAGATATTGAGATGAACAAAAATTTTTTTAAGGGGAATTGAGTCTTTGTCACAAAATATGATTTTCTAATCTCTGTATCTTTGTAATCCAATGCCGTAGACCTAGATATTTTAAACTATTAATTCCAATTAATCTAAGTTTGAAATATCAAAGGTTTACACCATCAGTTGGAAGAAATATAAGTATTAGAAAATCAGAGTTTGTTACAAAGACTCCATTCCTTTCTAACATTTAACTGGATAAATTTACATGTGCGTAAAATCAAAATTAGACAAGCTATGGGTCTAATAGATCGTAGAATAAAATCGTTCGTGTTGTAAATAAAACGACGTTTTTTTAAATTAATACAAAAGAAAAGTTAGTTCAATAAAAGTGCTATGGGTTTTTTAAAAAATTGTTTGAAAAAATCGTTCGTTTAGTAAAAATACGATAGTTTTTATTCCAAAATCTTTCGTCTGTTCAATAAAAACACTATAGTTTTTTTTAAGATCGTTCGAACGATTTTAAATCGCTCTCTTTTTTCGGTCGATTACACTAGATTTTTTATTTCTGTGAACGGTCTAAGTCGTTTCTCTATCGTTTGTTCACAAGAAATATGCCCATCTCTAGTTTATTCCAAATATGCCCATCTCTAGTTGTATCCCAAATATGCCCATCTCTAGTTAGTTGTATCCCAAAAATCCCAATTTAGAGCTATCCACGCTCCAATATGACATGACAAATAATGAATAAATCGATTATTTTGGTAATATAAAAGTGGAAGTTAGCTTGGTTTCAAAATTAATAATTTTGATATAAAAGCTACTTTTGTTTTATATTTTAGCATAATTGTTAACCTCTGGTTTTCATTGGAAAAAGGACCAGTCAAAATTGAAAAAAATATATTTGAGATGGAAAAAAACCTTGGTAAAAAATGTATTATTTAAGGTGCAACACCCTTTGTCACTGCAGACGTTGCTAGAACCAAACCGGTAATCTTATGTTTTTTTTTTTACAAAATCCTAACATGGAATTTATTGAAATGTGGAACATTTTTAAATGGAAAAAACGGAACTGATCACACTCGCCTAAAATTCAAGATTGTAATCCTGATAGGTTTGGATCCGGATGTCGGGGGACCATGAATATTTTAACGATGAATTATTTTAGCTTAAATAGCCAAACTTAGAAATATCAAAGGTTTGCATAATCAGGTTGCAAAGAACTGGTTAGAAATTTTCTACAAATTTTGATTTTCCATTTTCATATATCTTTACAACCTGATGTCGTAGACCTTTAATCAAAGGTTTGCATCATGGAAAAATGTGTGTCGAATGTTTTGTTCGTTAAAACATCCAACAGAAATGAAAAACGCAATTTAATCCAACTGCAATTTTTTTGTCAGAACATTCCTTGCATGGTATGTTTTAACAATGAAAATTTCCCTGTATGAAAATTAAAGGACTGCAGTATGATTTTGGTGAATTATATTGTAGTAATAAGCCTCGTGTGTCAAAAATAATTTTAATTTCAAATGTTTTTAACTTTCCCAAAAATATGTTAATTTCCATATGCAACCTATTTGAACCCTAAACTTCACACAAGAAATTACTTTGCAATCGTGATGTCATACTTTTGTCTAGAAATACCCTGTTGAAAATAACTTAAAAACACATTGTTTCTAACTTTGAAATGAAAATAAAAGACGACGAAATACATTTGAATCCCTGCACTGTTGATACTAGAAATGGGAATTTAATTTTCAACTTAAGATGCAACTTCTAGAAGAAGAGATTCTGATGCATAGTTTAAAACTAATGAGCTGATCACTATTTGGAGGGAGGAAGTGCAACCACACCAATTTGTATCTCAAAAATCTGTTTTGCAGCAAGCGCTATGAATAATTTATAAACTCCAACCACAATTAATTGTGTTTAAGAAAAAAAATCCTTTTTAACTTTTAAGACTGTGTGGTACTTAGGATACTGTAGGTACTGGATGGAATCGGGGTACTAGGGGGTACTGCGGGGTACTCTTCTGGGTACTGAGTGGTACTGGGAGGTACTGGTGGGAACTTGGGGGTCCTGGGTGATACTGCGGGGAAATTTGTGGTAATAAGGGGTACTGCAGGGTACACCGAGGTACTGTTAGGTACTATGGGGTACTGTTAGGTACTGTGTGGGGNTGTTTTACATGAATGAAAATAATACAAAACTAGAGTAAAGTGATACCCAGAAATGCTTTATAACGGTATTAAATATTTTTGTTTAAAGATATCTACTAGATGTAAAGCAATATTTATCAATACTTATTTTGACTTAAACTCTTACCTAAATGAATTTAGAAAAAATATTCCGGTTTAAGAAAGTTTTTAATAGATATTTGCAACCATTAAAAATCAAACTTTATCAGATTTATAAGAAGTTTTAAAAAATATGCAACAAAAAAATGTGTGACACACCTAGGCTAAGTTTGTCAATATATTTAAACAAAAACATATTGCAGTCCTTAAATGATCATACAGGGAAATCTGTATCTTTATAAACATAAAAGGGAAAGTTCTGACACCTCCAGGAAACTTTAGCTCAACTCATAAAATTTTATGATGGCCCCTTCAACAATGCACTTTTTCTATATTTATTCTATTTTCTATTTATTTGAGTTAAATGTATTAATTACTTGGCGAAGCACTTTAATTTTATAATTTCTATATCTTTGCAACCTGAGCACGGGTTTAATGAATTTTAGCTAGGTCTAGAGACGGTTCAACCACTTATCTTGAATCGGTTATTAAGGATTTGTCCATGTCCTATAGATTAAATCTAGCTTAAATTCATTAAATTATTTCCCTCGTGTAGTAAATCGTTGATATTTCAAGCTTTGATTACTCGATGTATAAAACACTAAAAAAATCATAGTTTGAAATATCAAGACACCAAGATTTAAAGGTATACAGATTGGAAAAATAGAGAATGAGACAAGTAATCCGTTTCTTTATTTGATTTAATTTAATTTGATTTAAGAGTGAAGAGATAGGAGAAGGGGTAGAGTCAATAACATTTAACGAACTTCTTGATGTTGTGCATACTGATACAGTTATAGTTAAAATGGACATCCAGGGAGCAGAATGTAAGGTATCTACATTTTTCTAGGCTCCAACAAATTTCCATTAACCTTTCCTTGGGAATTCACCAATAATGGTAGAAAAATGTGCAAAATCTGAAAAATTTAGTGAAATATTTTTATTCTTTTTAATTTTTTTTTAAGGATCAGATTCCTTCAGTTTACCTACAGTGAAACCCTTAATAACGAATACATCGAAAGAATTCATCAAATGTCGTATTCTTCACTTTCTGATAATGGAATGTTGCAGATATTTAGTTTTTTAATTAAATGATTATATGGAACTCTTTAAAACTGTTCCCGCATATTCATGGCTATTTATTTATTTTCGCAAATACTTAAATTTATATAAAACTCATTGAAAAATTGTAAAGTCGACATTTGATAAAATCTTCCGATGTATTCGTTACTAAGGGTTTCACTGTATAAAAATTCTAGGCCCTGATACCTTTCCTGCAGAAAAAGATAAAGGAAATAAAAAACTTCTGAAAACAATAAATCCAGGCATTAAAGGGATTGTTCATGTAATTTCAAATATCCCTGTTTTTCTTTCAGATAACTAATAATTTATTTTTGTGGTTTCTAAAATGGAAATCAATTACTTCGCCAGTCCCTTGACGTGAAAAGGACAACCCTCAGATAATGAAGTATAGAGTATTCCTTTCAGCCCGGACAGCTACTCTACTCTTACTTTACAATCTACATTTAATATATATGGATACTTCTATTTAAAGGGACTGTAAGCGTATAATTTCAAATGACATGCAAATATTACAATGCCCGGTATACAACAGTATCCGTAAAACCTTAATCTAATAAAAAATGTGTAAAATACCGTCGTTTTTCTGACTCGAAATGTATTTAATTCTGAAAATTTCTCCAAGTTTGTGCAAGAAAAGTGCAAGTCACTTTTTAAGAGAAACCACAAAAGAAAATAACAGTTTAAAGAAACTAAAACATAGAAATCATACTTAATTAGACAAAGATTTAAATGGTACTGATGTAAATCGGACCAAAGGCGTAGTTTAGGATTTCATATGGGGGAGGGGGAATTTAAATATTTTAAATTTTAAATTTTACTCCCGCCCCCTTAAAAATATACAGTCAACAAGTTATGGGTTTCAAGCAAAGAGAATAGAATATATATTAGAGGGGAATTTAGAGAATCTCTCGGTATGAAATTTTTCAGTCCCTTTCAGCCTAAAAGGGAGTTCAAAGTGGACAAATCATTTAAATGTTCACAAATTATATGCAGTAGAGCACATTTATACAGTATGTTCCCTAGACTATCCATTTCAATTTCGAATTTTTTTTAAGCTGTTAAATAAACTTTATAATGAATTAGGTGAACAAAAAACATTTATAGTTATAACGGAAAATCATCGTTTGTAAAGTGAAATGATCATTAGTCAGTTATGAAACCCGCCTAAATTATATTAATTTGAGATTTTCTACAAAATGATATTCCAGAGCCCAAAAGGTTATATAGCATAAATAAGTGAAGTACACCTGCAGTATGAAAACAGTACAACAAAATGGCCGTTTTACACTTTTTTCTAGTAAATTCCCCTCCAATATATATTCTATTCTCTTTGGTTTCAAGTTGGGTTTGATTTCAATTTTCCGATCATTTCTGGCATTGAGGGATTCGATATCAGATAAAAAGCATCATTGCCTACCTTTTACCTTTCACCTTTCTTATTCATTTCCTATGATATAATCACTATTAACATTAACTACATTTATGTAACTAGATTTATTTTAATTATTAGTAATATATTTTATATATATTTAGGGTAACACATGAAAGAGGTTAAATTTTTTTTGGGGGGTGCATAGGTTCAATTGGTGATGTGATCCAATATTAGCATATTGTGAAAGTTTTTGGTTGATCGGTGCATTGCATATGGTACAGTCGTCTTCGGTTTTTCGAAAAAAACCTAGATTTTTCATTTTATTAAATTTTTCTAAAAGCAAAAAGTTTCAAATGTTTAATGAACACTTTCTGAAAAAAGCTAAATGAAGTAAAGCTGCATGTTTTTAAGTGTTCAGGAGGTGTTTTCAGATATTTTAGGTAAAGGTACAGTTCTCAGAATATATATAATATAGAATAACAGGTGGCAGCATTTGGTTTGGGAAGTGTTGGACTGTGGAGGTTATGCAGTAAAATACATAAATGTACAGATGTGGTTAGGTGGAAATTTTTAACAAGCTGAGTATTCTTTGAAAATATTGCATATTTGAGCAAACTCATCAACTAGGAATTTCTGAAATTTTTTAAATAACGATATAAGTCGCAGTAACGAAAAAGCAGGAATTAACGAAATACGCAAAAACCAAGATTTTCTTAAGAATTTGCGCGAAATAGCTTTTGCACATCAAAGCAAAATTATATCAAAATTTCGTGCAATTTTTACTCGACACTTACAGTGAAACTTTTAATAACGGATATATCGGAAGAATTTATCAAATGTCGTCTTGACAATTTTTCAATGAGTTTTATACTATATTTCGTAAATTTCAGTATTTGCGAAAATAAATAAATAGCTCTGAATATGCGGGTACAGTTATAAAGAGTTCCATATAATCATTTAATAAAAAAAACTAAATATCTGCAACATTCCATTATCAGAAAGTAGAGAATACGACATTTGATGAAATCTTTCGATGTATTCGTTATTTTGGGTTTCACTGTAAAAATAATGAAAGCATGTTTTAAATGTCGTTTTACTTTTCTGAGAATTTGAATTTCTATTATTTTTAAAATATGTTTATTATGCCCAAAAAATTAATTATATGCCAATCATTTTCAAATCATCTGCTCTCAGGGCTTTTAAGGTTTAGAAAATGCGACCATCAAAACCGGGATTGATTTGTTCCATGCAATGTGCAGTTACATCAAAAAAGTAAATTGATAACCTCCTCATTGTGACCAATTTCATCGGGTTTAATGATTTTCTGGCCTTATTCTAATTTTAAAAATCTTTATTTTTATTTTTCTTGTTATTATCAAAAATGATAATGTTACTGAGTACTGACAATGTAATCTTTGATATTAATGTGCAACTCTAAATGTGCAATTGCTTATTTTTACAAAAAATTCCATGCATGTATGCAATTGTTCACAAATGAATATGATACGTACGTGTCATGCATAAAATTATAAATGTGGTTAATATATATCATGCATGTCATTTACTATTTTAAACAATAGTTAATTTAATATTAAAATCGTTAGCAACAACAAAAATTCTTAACACGGACGTGCATGTGAACATTAAACAATATTAATAAATTTATTTTAACAATAAGTTTTTGAAAATTTGCACTTATTACATAACATATGTTGAAAAATAAGTATTCAATACGATACTGAGCATTTTAGACCTCAACCTTTTTAATATTTGTCAACTTGGATATTTTCTACAACACAATGTTAATTATCCAGCTGAGCAAACATTTTGTTGTTTCACATCTAAATTTAAATCTTTCATGCAACAATGTAATCTAAATAAGTTTGGTTTAATTTAAACATGCATTAATAATTAAAAATTAAATTAGAGAATCACTAAACGTGAAGATTTACGGGAACAGTTTTAAAGAGCCCCATACAATCATTTAATTAAAAAAACTAAATATCTGCAACATTCCATTATTAGAAAGTGAAGAATACGACATTTGATAAATTCTTTCGATGTATGGCTTATTTGGGGTTTAACGGTAGAATTAAAGGATATGCTAGCGTAGGGCGTTTTGAAAATGTATTGGTGTCATATGCATGTTCATTTAGAAAAACGTTTACTTTTAGCCAGTTTTGCCCCCCATAACCGATAGGAATCTCATTTTTGAAAGTAAGAAAAGCCGAGCCCACCCCCCTAAAAAAATGGTATGCGCAAATAAAAATTGAAGTCATGACTCCCGAGTTATATCCTAATTATGAAATCCACTAGAACACCAAACCACCCCGCTTATCATTGAAGTACACTTTGACCCCTAGAACTGTACAATACAGGGTGATTTTGCATAAATACGATGTTTATTTATTTATCTATGGGGTCACTTGAAATTAGGCTTACAGCCCCGTTAAATATATAAAACTAAAAAAATGTTTCCGTAAATACTTTGAAAGCAAAATTTACTGAGTAAAGATTACGATTTTTTCTCCATGAGTTCAAAAAATAGCATTCAAGATCATATGCTAATTTATTACATTGAAAGTTTTTTTTTATTTCCCGAAGACAAAATACATTCCATATATAATAATGGAATGGCAATGGATTACATACAATATGATGGGACTGTGCCCAGACATTCAACCTCTTATAAAGGTAACAACTGAACATCACTTGGGCATTATATGTATGCAAAAATATTTCACATTTTTAACATTGCCAAAAATAAAACTGAGAAAAAAAATCAAAAATTGATAGATCCCGCTGCCGAAAAGATGTAACAACCAAATTAGTTGAATTTTTTCGATCGAGTAAAAAACACAAAAATTTTCATGTTTTACAAATGTCGCTGGATTTTCTTTATTTATCTTTTTAATTGATTTTAAATAGCTAGATTTGTTGAAAACTGATTTTGGTTTACGATAAACTTTAACCAGGACTTTGAAATAAAAGAACAACATAAAAGATAATTCAAATCATTTCATTTGGTTCATTTTTAGCATTTTCTGTTGGGATCAAAATTTGGCTTAAGCGCACGAACAAAGTATTAGGTTTTGTTCAAACACTTGGGCATATCAAGGATAGAGTATGATCTCGTCTAACTCTAGAAAATGAGGCGCTTAATTTTAAAAGTTAGGTCGTGGTTAGGGCCGCCATCTAAATTGCCTCGTAAGCATCCGTGGAAGAATCAAATTTTATTAAGTCCTTAATATCGAGTGCATTTTTAAAAATTTCCGGAAGTTTTAGATTCTGAACCAGACATAAAAAATATTAATCTTAGTTTATTATTGACAACTCCAAGTACCAATACTTCCCACAGTTCCACACTTCCATCAGTTCCACACTTCAACACTTCAACACTTCAATACTTCAACACTTCAACACTTCAACACTTCAACACTTCAACACTTCAACACTTCAATACTTCAACACTTCAATACTTCAACACTTCAACACTTCAATACTTCAACACTTCAATACTTCAAAATTTCAAAACTTTAAACTCCTAAACTCCTAAACTTTTTATAACTCCATGAATAAATGCAAAAACATTTAAAAATTGCTATATCAATTTTGAAAAGAAAAAATGGTCGCATTAATATATTCCTCGATAGAACCCAAATACAAGATTAGTACATGAATATTTAAAAATATGTCCGAACTGTATAAACTGGTTTTAGGACCCGGTCCGGATTAGACGAGATGATACTCTATCATAAAAAGTATTTCTTAAACAGTTAAACTTTAAAATGGTATTAGAAAAAAATAATTACATGATTTTAACATATTCTTAAAATCTTTGTTGTTGTGACCGGCCCCCCGTTTTTTAGGCATTTCTGGACAATGGTTACTTTCCTGCCAATGTTACTACAAGACATGAACTAGAGTAAGTCAATTTTTATTTACAATTTTTCACAATATACCGAGATTTTTTATTAAAACAGAGCTTTTAAAAATCCTTCTATAATTGGTACATTGAAATTTAGCTTTGCAAGTTAGTAAAAAATTTCTCTTTTACCGAGGATCTTAAAGAATTTTTTTGACAAATTGTTCTCATGAACCCATGGAAAATAAAAATCTAAGTATTTAGTTGTATTTTTCTAGTATTGAAACTCAGAAGACCTGGTATGATGTACTTTGGGTTCATCAGGATGCCATACATTAGAAAAAGTTCTACATAAATGGACTGATTACTCCTCTTTGCTTTTGAATGATAAAAAGGATATATTGCTCCTAAATGATAAAAAATAAGATATATTGCGCTTCTGAATGATTGAAAAAAAAACAGTTTTTAAGAAAGCTGTTAGCTTTTTTACACTAAGATTTGAGAACACCTTGATATTTTAGGATGGACAAAATCAAAATAAACTATTTTATATTTTAACTTTTTTAAGATTTATAACAGTTTGATAGATAGCCAGATAATTACTCCAATATCTCAATTACATTGCTTCATAGCTTTTTAAAAATCTCCCCCAGGGATTGTCAACCCTATTGAAAATGTACATAATAACCCAATTTCCATAACTTGCTCAAACAAAGAATTCTTTCAGTCATATACAGTTAAACTACTTCTGCATCCATTGCTTAATTCCAAACTCTAAATAATTATTTTACTTACAATTTAAAGAAAAAAACTTTTAAATCTTAAGCAAAGTTCTTTAAGCCCGTTTCACACCAAGATAAAAATGAAGGAGGGGGGCTACCAAGAAATACGGGCAGCTTACACAAAATATTTCGGGCACCAATAATGGATTTCTTAAAAGAAAAATTATTTTATTTTATATCATTTTAAAGTTAAGTATTTGCTAGAAAATTGTTTCTGTTTAAAATATTAGTCTTACCATCACAAAAGAGTTAAAAACTGTGGATTAAAAAGAATCGCATACTGAGAAATTATTATTTATTATTTACATGGTTTTTTGTTTAGCTTGTAATAATAAAATTGTGATAATTTTTAATTGTTGAATATTATTGTTAAAAATATAAATATTAAGTTAAAAACGGCTTTAGAGTGTATTTTTATGTATATCAATGTTTTCTGTTACTACTTCTAGAGTATTTTCTCCCCACCTAGAGCCAAAACAACATGGATGAACAAAAGTGAACAATTTAAGATTTTATAATTTTTGAGAAAAAAGTGTCAACAGCTACTATGTTTTTTTCAAATTAATATTTTTTTACCCCAAAAATATTTTAAAAGAAATCAAATTTCAAAAACTTAGCTTTAAGCTTAAGGATTAAAAAAAGTTTTAAGTAAGGATAAAAAAAAAATTTTCTCAAATTTTGAAATTTTGAAAGTTTTGGAGCCGTTTAACTCCGACCCAAAAAAATTGTAAAATGAAATATGTTTTATCTTAAACTTTGAACTGTGTGCAAAATTTCAGCCAAATCAGAAATGGCCACTTCCATAATTGTCAAAAAATTGTTCCTTTTGTTTTGAAATGACCCAACGGCTAATTCCGTTCCTGAACAATTTCAAAATTAACGATTTTGCAATTCTTACACTATGTCAAATGTTGATGCAAAAAAAAGCATAAACGATCCAAAAACGAATTTGTTTATGCAGTCGTTTTTGATTAATTTTTTCTTTGCTTAGGATTAAATTATTGCAAAGTCTAATAATCTCAAACTTCTCAGAATACTATTTTGAAAAGTTTAAAAAAAACACGAACCAAATTACGATTAACAGCTGCACCAAAGGGATTTAGTCAGCATTGGAATCGGCCGGCTCTAGCCTATGAAACATTTTCTTACAGTTTTATCATGAGCTAACGAAAAAAAAACTTCATATTGGAACCTATGTCTCATGTTGAAGAACATGTAACTTAATGAAGAAAAGAAAAACTAAAATCATCTCATTGTTAATAATTATCATATTTATTCTTCTATTTTGTGGATTACAATCTTAAAACAACATGGAAGATTTCTGAAAAATAAATCATCATTATTTGTTGAGCTTAAACTCTCACTTCCCGTCATTGGATTTCAACCTGTTACATTTGTTTGGAAGATCAGATTGCAAAATTATTAAATTAAAATTTTGGCTAAATTTCTCTCATTTCTTTATGTATTAAAATATGTATTTTTTTTGCACATTTTTAATACATAGCTGGATTTTCACAATTTTCACTGCGGTAATTAGATTATGCATCATTTTTCATGTTTGTGAGTTTTGTTGCACTCTGTCATTTCACCGTAGGTCGTTTTACCATTGGTTGCCTTTTTAGTTTTTGTCCATTTATCGTTTGACCCTATATTGTTTGTCCATTAATTGGTTGAACCTATATGTCAGGTTCTAAATTGTAACCTGAAATCTTTATTGGGAGATTCTGTAGAATAAATGAAATAATTCATGAAATAATCCTGAGCTAGAAACTTTTGAATGGTGGATATCGGGATTAATTTCTGATCCACTCTTTTTCTTAACCTCGAGATTGAATAATGCTTGTTCTCCTCTTGTAATTAATCTCCAGATTAATTAACAGATCGGGATTAAGAGTATTACATTCTAAAGTTTTCAGCACTGAACAATTTATAAAATATCGGTCTTCAACACCGTTAATATAATTGAGATCGTTTGTAAACGGTAACTTTAAGATTTCTTTTTTACCCATATTGAGGCGGGGTTCTGAATCTATGTATAGTTCGGGTTCAAGAGAGGTTTGAAACAAACAAAAAAAAATAGTTTTTGACAAATGTTTAGATGTGAGTGTGACACTTGGCTTCTTTCAAGGGCTTTTAAAAAAACTCTTACAGATTACAGCTTTCTCAGTAGGTATCACTATACTAAATCAAAGAATTATTTAAAAAGACGATATCCAATTCGTCACTGAATTCCCATGTTTATTGGGACACCCTGTATATTTGTTGATTATATATATCAGAGGGGCATATATATCTTGAAAATTGTTCCCCCTTTTTAAAAAAAAATTTTCCTCAAAAATGAGATATGTTTGCGCGGATTTTTGTTTAAAAAATGTTGAAAATTATGAAAAAAAAACTTGCCTTATAATGTGAAATTTTTCCACACACCATAAAAATAATTTCATAAATGAGGCCCCCCTGTTCGTTCCCCTCGGGGGGGGGGGCACGTGCGACGAGTCCACCCCGCACTCTCTCGTACCCCTGTCCCAACCCTATGATTTAATAATAAAAACAAACAAACCGAGAACACTGAAAATGATAAACGTTAAATTCTGAAAAACAAAAGAATATCTAAAAAGTTAGCAAATAAATTTATTTTTACGATATTGCTTTAAAATTAAATAGTACAGCATACAATATATAAATCAGATTGTTCTAGAGCTGTTTTAATGGAAAAGATGTTTTTTTTTCATGAGTAAAATGGCTCAAATTCTTTTTAGAAAACAAATGTTTTTTTTTCTAAAATTGAAGCAGCTGATTTTTCTAAGATTGTGGCAGCTGACTTTTTTAAAGAAGATAAACATCTGAATTCTTTTGTAAAAAAACAGCTTACATATTTTCTGTATAGAACAGAAGATTTAAATTATTTAAGAAATTACTACGGATGAGATTAAATACAAACAATGTCAAATTTGAAAAGAATACGAATTTACTGAGAACAATGCTATTGAAATTAGTACAATAATTTGTACTTCTCCTTAGTTTACGCCATAAATATTCGCAAGAATACTTTAGGCAGATAGCGCCGTTTCTCAATTCATATGTTGAGTTTTAACTATAATTAGGATGAGCATCGTTTACAGAGAACAAGTGTTGACAATTTTTTTGGCTTACAAATACAGCTCTTTATTACCTTGTTGTTAAACACAAAAAAAAGGGAGAACCCCACTAGATTCGAATTTGAAAAAAGAAATTAAGAAATGAGCAAAAATCTAGCACGAGAAGAATTTCATTTTTGAGATAGACATAATAATAAATGTGAATGAAAATCTTTTAATCTTTTAAAGGTTTGAAAAAATCATTTTGAAAGGGTTCAAGCGATTAAGCAAAGTAGTTTAAAAGTTTAATCAAATTTTGCAAGTTACAAAGTTTAAATAATTTACTTTTAAATTTAAATACAATTATATATAATAAACTTTATAGAAATCCATGCCGGAACTTTGGATTTAGAACAAAACAAGATTTTTATTTCTCACTTTTTTAAGACGCCCAAATCTTTGGGGTTTAACCGAAACTTCTGTTACACTTTACACACTGTTTTTCTTTGAGCATGCAACAGGCAATAATACCAAATGGGAATAAAAGAACAGCTAGAACAACACCTAAAAGAAAGAAAAAAAAATTATTACTTAACAATATGGCTCGAAGCATTGTAATACTACCGATTTTGCAACAGAAGTGACGGAACTGATCTAAGTTTTAAGATTTAAACATAAACATTATAAACTTAAAAACTGTGATACGAAAGAATAATTGTCCTCAATATTTACCTATTGGAGGATAATTGTCCTCTATATTTACCAATTGGAGGATAATATGTCCTCTATATTTACCCACTGGAGGATAATATGTTCTCTATATTTACCAATTGGAGGATAGTATGTTCTCTATATTTACCAATTGGAGGATAATATGTCCTCTATATTTACCTGCTGGAGGATAATTGTCCTCTATATTTACCTACTGGAGGATAATATGGTCTCTATATTTACCCACTGGAGGATAATATGTTCTCTATATTTACCAATTGGAGGATAATATGGTCTCTATATTTACCTATTGGAGGATAATTGTCCTCTATATTTACCAATTGGAGGATAATATGTCCTCTATATTTACCCACTGGAGGATAATATGTTCTCTATATTTACCTACTGGAGGATAATATGTCCTCTATATTTATCTGCTTGAGGATAATATGTCCTTTATATTTACCAATTGGAGGATAATATGGTCTCTATATTTACCTACTGGAGGATAATATGTCCTTTATATTTACCAATTGGAGGATAATTGTCCTCTATATTTACCAATTGGAGGATAATATGCCCTATATATATTTACCTACAGGAGTATACTATATTTACCAACTATGAGACAATTAAAACAAGTTATATGCTTTGCATTAGATTTCTTTCTAATTTATTAACACAGTTCTTGGCAGAAATTTATTTTCCATTGCAAATGATTGTTCTGTAAATCTTTCTGATCTTACTAAAATGTTATTTAAGAAACAAATGAAATACTTTGATGCCCATTGGACCATGCGTGGAAAGTTCCAGTTATACAAGAACTTTTAAATACATGAACGAATAATTTATATGTTGAAGGATTCGATGATTACGTAAAAACTGAAATGATAAATATTTTATGTAATGAGTAATGATCAATGTCGCCTTTTTCATAATTTTGCTCATTTTCCTTTTTTCTTTTGTAAAATTATATATTCAAAAATTTATATAAACAAATTTAAACTACACCATTTATATGTGTATTTATATCTTTGTTTATGAATAAATCTTTATAAAAGTAATAATATGTCCTCTATATTTACCCACTGGAGGATAATATGTTCTCTATATTTACTTACTTGAGGATAATATGGTCTCTATATTTGCCTACTGGAGGATAATATGTTCTGTATATTTACTTACTGGAGGATAATATGGTCTCTATATTTACCTACTGGAGGATAATATGTTCTGTATATTTACCAATTGGAGGATAATATGTCCTCTATATTTACCTACTGGAGGATAATATGCTCTCTATATTTACTTACTGGAGGATAATATGTTCTCCATATTTACTTACTGGAGGATAATATGTTCTCTATATTTACCTACTGGAGGATAATATGTTCTCTATATTTACCAATTGGAGGATAATATGTTCTCTATATTTACCTACTGGAGGATAATATGTTCTCTATATTTACCTACTGGAGGATAATTGTTCTCTATATTTACCTACTGGAGGATAATTGTCCTCTATATCTCCTCCGCAGTAAGTACAGTTTGATCTAAAAACATGTAATTATAAGTTAAAGCATGACATTATCATTAAGTCGAAGCAACGTCAATTGGTTAGGTGGAAATTTTTAACAAGCTGAGTATTCTTTGAAAATATTGCATATTTGAACAAACTCATCAACAATGAATTTCTGAAATTTTTTAAATAACGATATAGGTCGAAGTAACGAAATAGCAGGAATTAACGAAATACGCAAAAACCAAGATTTTCTTTGCACGAAATAGTTTTTGCGCATAAAAGCAAAATTATATCAAAATTTCGTGCAATTTTTACTCGACACTTAGAAATAATGAAAGCATGTTTTAAATTTCGTCTTAATTTTCTGAGCATTTGAATTTCTATTATTTTTTAAATCTGTTTATTATGCCCAAAAAAAATTAATTATATGGTAATCATTTTCTAATTATCTGCTCTCAGGGCTTTTAAGATTTAGAAAATGCGACCATCAAAACCGGGATTGGTTTGTTCCATGCAATGTGTTACATCAAAAAAGTAAATTGATAACCCCCTCATTTTGTACTAATTTCATCGGGTTTAATGATTTTCTGGCCTTATTCTAATTTTAAAAATCTATATTTTTATTTTTCTTGTTATTATCAAAAATGCTAAAGTTACTGAGTACTGGCGATGTAATCTTTGATATTAATGTGCAACTCTAAATGTGCAATTGCTTATTTTTACAAAAAATTCCATGCATGTATGCAATTGTTCACAAATGAATATGATACGTACGTGTCATGCATAAAATTATAAATGTGGTTAATATATATCATGCATGTCATTTACTATTTTAAACAATAGTTAATTTAATATGAAAATCGTTAGCAACAACAAAAATTCTTAACACGGGCGTGCAAGTGAACATTAAACAATAATAATAAATTTATTTTAACAATAAGTTTTTGAAAATTTGCACTTATTACATAACATATGTTGAAAAATAAGTATTCAATACGATACTGAGCATTTTAGACCTCAACCTTTTTAATATTTGTCAACTTGGATATTTTCTACAACACAATGTTAATTATCCAGCTGAGCAAACATTTTGTTGTTTCACATCTAAATTTAAATCTTTCATGCAACAATGTAATCTAAATAAGTTTGGTTTAATTTAAACATGCATTAATAATTAAAAATTAAATTAGAGAATCACTAAACGTGAAGATTTGTCATTTAATTGAGAGCGATAGAAAAATGGTTATTTTGGAACTATTTAATCCTAATCCTTTTGGTTTTGCTTTCCTTCTCTTCCACGTGAAATCATAAATATATTCCGGTCACAATGGTGGCCATTTTAAGAAATCGCGCCACCTATACGACACAGTTGTGTATAAAAATAAAAATTCTGGAGAAGAACTGTTCAGACCTAAGTTCCTATGATTTATCATCATAGATCAACAAAATGTCATCCCCCAGTTAGGTTTAAAGATTAAAGATACATTTATAGATTAAGAGAATGGAAAAGAGTACAATGTGAAGTATATAGGGAAAAATGGCTCTCAGTTGTACAAGGTACGTAAAAAGGGTAATAGTATTTACAACATAACTGCGTGTATTGCATATATATTTGAAAAATGTGTACACACTTATAAGTCATCGTTACAAACTCTAAAGCCACAGGTTTACATCCTGATTCTTAAGCAGTGGTTTAAGCGTATAGGTCAGTGCATGATTTAAAACTTGTTCATTTTTAATGAACATTGCCATATTTCTAAAGAGCTGGGGGACATTTATTTTACCTTCGAGAGTCATGATGTTAATCGGTTGCATTTTACGCATTGTTTCTCTTTAAGCATGCAGCAGGGAACCAGGCCAAAGGGGAATAGGAATATGCCCAGGCAAATACCTGGGCATATATTTCGATATCTTACTTAAGACTTAGATTTCAAGCCAATAACTTACACTGCTTAGATTTCAAGATGTTAACTATACACGGCTTGATTTTTAAGTTAATGTCTTGTGATATACTTAAAGACTTTGATGTCTAATACTGATTGATTTTAAGCCAAATCTTACTTTTTGCATAACTTTCAAGCCCATAGATTACACCTTCTTGATTTTNTTTCAAGCCAATAGATTACATCTTCTTGATTTTCAAGCCAATAGATTACTTCTGCTTGATTGTCAAGCCAATATCTTACAATACAATTGACTTTCAAGACAAAATAATATCTTATACTGCTTAATTTTTCAGCCAATGTTTTCACTTTACCTATAACCTTAAGTCAATCACTGCTCAGATTTCAAACTAGTATCTATCACCAATCTAAGCCAATAATCACTACATGGATTTCAAGCAAATATATAACACTGCTTGGATTTTCAAGCTAGTGATTTTTTATTTGCGTTTATTTTTCAATTTTGTTCAATTAAGTTGTTGTAAGGTACGGGCCTATAGGTGGATAATAATCTTCTATATCAGCTCCGCAATATGTACAGGAGGATCTGAAATGTTATGTACAGACCAAATATAAAGGTAATTATTGGATTGTACAGGAGGATCTGAATTGTTATTCACAAGCCAAATTGTAAATATTTTCTTTTTGTTTGATAAGATTTGGGGTTTAAATTGAAACCATATCAAATCTTGAAAATACTGGGTGTTCCACAAAACGCGAATAACCTACTGTTGTTATACGGTTTATGGTATGTTTTTTCTTCAAATAGTTAATCATTCGCCACCAGCTTTTCATTTGATTCAATTATATTGCAATTTTTAATTAAAAATAAAGTATACCGGCATGAATTTTATAGCCTATAGCTAGGCTTTCTTTATGACTTTTTAAAAAAGTTCTTAATAATTAGAATTAACATTAATTTTCTTATACCTTTGAATTTGTTTACTATTAATCACTTACACTTTTCACTTTAGAAAACTTTTTCAGATGTAGAAAAAAAATTATCATTTATGCTTTTGAACATATAAAAATGTCTGTTTCAAAGGATAGCGAATTGTCCTTTTTAATGAAAACGCACAAAAAACCTGACTATTAGAGGGACTCTTTATGCGTTATTTCATGTGACCGTTCTTGCAATAAAGGGAACAACGGTGCCCCCTGAGCCTATGTCTGCTAAATGAGGGCAAAAAGTCCAATGGTTTATCTCTAAAATCGTGTTCAAAATGCTGAATAACTAGAAATGTATGCTAGCGTACAGTGTGAACTCAAATACCACAAAAATCCAGAATATTCTAAGTCAAACGCAGTTTTTTTTAATTTTCGTGTGTAAAATTAATTTTTCACAAATGTAAACAACAAGGGTTTCTGTAGATAAATAAGTCCATCAAACTTGACCGGTCAACGATTTATAGAGTACTGTTGTGAATCCCAAACGCTAATCAACAAATGAAGGTTCACTTAAAATTTCGCTTACAGTCCCTTTAATTAAGTGATTAAGTAATTATCCATTTTTCTTCTTGAACTCAAAAACCAAAACCTTTCGCATACAAACTGAAAATTCGTTCTAGTTGTTGAGGGTTATTATTATTTCAACCCATAAACCAAAACTTTACAATGTATTTTAAATGCTTAGTCTTCTTCCTTTTGCATTCTTTAAAATAATTAAATTTATTTTTAAATACAAATCTACAAATATTAAAATATTAGAGTGGCATTTTCGATTGAAAACAGAAGCATTTATACATTTTCTTTGTCTAGGATAACTGTAACACGTTTAAAATGGAGGGTCACTTGAAATTACAATGAAAGCCCCTCAAAATGATATTCAATTTTGAGCAGAAAAATATTATGTTTTAAGTTAGTCAATATAGTATCGAATTGAATCATGATCTTATTCCATTGGCAGGATGGCGAAGAAATTCATAAAATTGACTTTTATGAGTTCAGACAGGATTTTGGGGGTGGGAGTGAGGCACATTGGGGTATCAGGGGTATCAGGGGGGAGCAATATTGAGTTTACACCATAAGAATTTTTTTTGGAGAAGTTTTTAAGTCGTATATAGTAATGTTGTAAATTCATAAATCCATAATTTTTTGCAGATTTATTAAAAGTTTATCTGTATTTCTTCTTTCATGGAATATTTGAAATCACGTTTCTTATTTTATCTGAAACTATAGAGGGTGAACAAGCCACTTTATAATTATATTCTGTGTATAAGTACTGGAGGGTACATAGGGGTACTGGGGAGTAATAGGGGGTGCATGGGGTACTGCAGTATACTGCTGGGTACTGCTGGGTACTACTGGGTACTGCTGGGTACTACTGGGTACTGGAGTGCACTTAGGGGTACTAAGGTTACTGGGGGTACTGCCAGGTACTGTGGGGTACTTCGGAATACTATTGGGTACTGGGGGTACTGGGGAGTAATAAGGAGTACTGGTGGGTACTGTGGGGTATTATGGGTAGCGGGGGTACTCTTGGGTACTGCGGGTTCTGTGGGTGGTACTTCCGAACACTAGGATGTATCGGGGGATACAGGGGGTTATTTGTAGTACAGGGGGATATGGGATAATGCGGGGTACTGGAGGTTACTGGTGGGTACCCCAGATTGCCCTGCAGGTTAGAATAGTACTGAATGGACTACAGGTTACAAAAGGGTTGAAAAACGGCAGGGTACAGGGTACTGCAGGGCACAGGGTCCTGCATGGTACCGTACAGGGTACTGAAGGGTACATACTACATAGTACTTTAAGGCACAGGGTACTGCAAGGTAAACAGAGCACAGAGGGCTACATGGTACTAAAGGGTGTAGGGTACTGCAGGTTACAGGGTACTACAGGGTACTACAGGGTACAAGGGCACTGCAGGGTGCCGATGAACTAAAGGATACAAAGTACCGTAGGTTACAGGATATTGAGTACCCTGGACCCTGCAGTACATCCCAGTACACTGCGGTACTTTATTGTAACACCATTACCCCTTAGTACCCCATTACCCATTTGTACCCCCAACACCCAGCAATACCCGACAGTACTCCACAGTACCCCAAAGTACTCCACTGTATCCCCCAATATNCCCGAAAGTACC